TTAAAAATACGCACGTGCCGTGTATGGGCAAAATTAATTACTCCGGCTGACACGTATGTACATGACACGACGTGATGCGAATACGACCATCTTGTTCTCTTTGAAATATATAATATACTGTATATAAGAGACCTGTTTTAGGGATCTGTTTCCATCTATATCTGTTTGATACGAGGTAAGTAATTTAACTTATTTTTGTCATCGTCGGTTCGGTTAAAAAAATAAGTATTATACATAGAGGTTTTTTTAAATCCTGTTACACCACTTAAAGTATCGAATGAATTTTCATATACGGCTGTTTGTTTAGTTTGTAAAAATATCGATTTTTCCAACGTGCTTCTGATTTATTTTCTATCGTTGTTCATATCAGTTCCATATTATTCATACTCAAAATGCCATTGCAAAACTAATTGGTAGGTTTTGAAATAGGCACTACATATCATGTCGCCGTTGCCATGAATCAATGGGGGTTTATTTACGTGCTGTACGCAGATATCACTGTGTCGTTAAATATTGGCAATTAAAAAAATTAAAAACGCCAAGCAAACAAACTCCAGTCAGAATATGCATCATGATGGTACACAAAAATGAGCAGTACCGTTATTAGTTTTGTTAGTTTAACATTTCAGCCGTTATTTTAATTAAAGGGAAAATTTGCCAAGTGTAAGTCGAATTTAAAATATTTGATATTATTATTTGTAATTTCTAATAAACCAAACTATTAAATAATGGTTAATATAAGTACTTACTCAGACTTACTTGACCAAATGACAGTTACTAGGATTAAATAATGGGATTATAGTACAGTAAATATGAGAGTGATCAGCCATTCCTTAAGTCGACATTGAAGACTATTCAGCTCTACTCTGTGACGCTTCCTACGACCAGTGTTTTTAGGGTACCAGAGCAAACATTATCTAATATATATAATAATTTTAAATATTAAATAAGTAATAAAATTATATATCAAAAATGGAAAAATGTCTGTGTTTTTTTGCACTTCTTTTCATATGTATTAACTAATTTCAAAAAGTAGAGGATTACTCAATTTGGTTACATATTTTTCTGTGTATGTTATATTTTAAACTTCACGATTCTTTAATAGAATCTCAAAAATCCTTTTCCCTTTCTTTCCGCCTATCCATCACTTAGGAAAGGAATGCGATGTTTTTTATTTTTAAAATAGATTTTTTACATAGACATAATAATGTACAGAATATATTTATTTAAAACAAATATTGCCAAACGTGTACTTGTTGTTGTAACTGATGCATCAAGTATTTCCTCCATTCAATACCTTCTAACAAAATAAAATTAAAATAAATTCGGAATCGAGAACGAAAATACAGTATCAGAAATGATATTTAAAACAAAGCAACAAACCAGAAGTATTCGTTTATTGTTCACAATCAATACAAAAAAGTATCTATTTTAGTTTTACGTACACGAGACACCCCATGAGTCATGTCACACTCTGTAAACTGTATAAACGTAGAGTACCTTTGATAATAATTAAAACACCCCCCTAGAAGTCGTAAAACGACTTGATGGAATTTAGACCCTTAATATCGCGTTTTATGTGAAACTCGACGGTGGTTCTCATTAAAGAAAATCGTAAAAAATTTATGGTGAAATATACCTTTTTTATCAAAATGGTGCTGTGTGTTTTGCTTAAATTGAATCGAGGGTACATATATTTCTGTTTTTATATAAAAGTTTCGTATAGACTATAGTTCTTCACTATTTATTATATATTAGTATATAATAAATAGGTATGATGGGTTGTTGTGTGTTGTATTAAAATGTGTTTTCCCGTGGCAATGAGATCGTCTTCCGCGGTAAAAAGTAGCCTATGTCACTCTCCAACCCTCCAACTATCTCCACACAAAAAAACACGCCAACGCCAATCTGTCACTGTCTCGACGTGAAAGACAAACAAACAAACAAACACACTTTCACATTTATAATATTATGTAAGCATTTTGTTAACCGACCAACATTTTTGGCTGTTTTATTAATTTATTCCATCAAAAATAGTGGATTGTTTTTATCGTCTCTTCATAATGCAAGCTTTTCAAATCTCATCGAAATCGGCCTAAGTCGAATTAACAAACGCGGTAATAGAAAATATTATGATTAGGAAGCAATTCTAAGAAAGTGTATTTCAAAAATGTTGTTTGGAGTTGAATATTAACAATATGACTTCTTAGAATAAAACATAATTCTGCTGTTACATCAGTAGGTACTACACAGTGAATACAACTTGATATTCATGGCGATTAGTACTCTTTTGAAAGCTCATCAATCTGACTGAACTTAGTTGACGATTTTACTGTTATTTACTAACATGCACTATTGATAATTGATTTCTATGTATTCATCCCTCAACGACCGCGTACACGCCGGCGTTACAGTTAACAATAGATTTTTTAGAAATTTAATTAATTTCTTAGAAATTTACCTGGAGGTGTTAACTTCGTACAACTCTAAACTTTCAGAGGCTTTAGAAAAAATATAGATTAAATATATCTTGATCTCTTAGCGTCATACATCAATGTCATATATAATAAATAAATATATCGGGACATTAACACACAGCACCATCTAAATCCATGGTAAGCTACGAGGCTTTTGTTATGGGTACCAGATAGTTGATTCTCTACACATAGGTATATAACTTTAACTACGTACATATTATGAATATAAACACCCATGACTGGAGTACAAACATTCGTGCTCATCACACAAATGGATGCCCCCAGCGGGACTCGAACTCGCTACCGCTGGCACAGCAAGTCGAGTCACTATAAAATGAGCCAAACGTGTCGTCAAAATGTAGTTACGTTAAGAAATTTGTTAATTGCTGCTCGAAAGAAGAATAAACTAATAAACATACAAAGACACTTTGGTATTTATATTATAGGATAATAGACCAAATTAAAAAGTAGAAAGCTAAATCCTGTAATGAAAACACTCACACTGTTCCATATAAACGTTGCATATGAATGTAAAACCGCACGTGTATAACTCGCATTATAAAGCGCCGGCCTTACATCCGAAGTCCTTTCATTGAGAAAAAAAAAATAGAAAATAGGTCAGCTTAGTGAAATTATAGTAGAGAGGTGAAATTCTCATAACGATGGCGAAAAAGGTGCTTTATTCCTGTAGTTTTATTTCCAATTAGTAACGATGGATGTGATTAGAATCTGAAAAAAACTGTAATTTAATGAATGTTGTTCAAAATTTCATACAATTCTGGACTTTCTGCTGATTGAGGCCTCTTGTTGAAATTCAGTATACATTTTTTTTTAATTTTCTCCTATTTTTTAGTATTTTACATAGACTTTCCCAATTACTACCTTTGAATGTAATTATTTTTTTTTTACATTTTTTTTCTAGTAATTATTATAAGCACTGGTCGTTAAAGCGCGGAGTCCAAAGACTGTAAAAAATTAAGTACGAGTTTCATTTGAAATGCTTTCACTACAATTAAAGAAATAAGAGTTTCTACAATAAAGAGATAGTAATAATTAAAGTTTCGACAAAGAGTAAATATTTAATAGGATTCGAGATCATTCAAGGTACATTTCCCGTTTCATTGAAAGTCTGAAACCACCAAGTCCTGAACTCAAGACATTTTAAAACTTAATATTGTCTCAGTTGCTAATCGATAGTTTGAGATGGCTCCATTGTTATTCAGCGGACAGAACTCATCTCATCCCGTATTCTGTAGTAATATCGTATTGTTGCCAGTAATATGCTCAAGTTTGCCAGAAAATAGATGTTTCTAAGAAGTTAATATGTTTGTAAATAACGTCGTATTTTTTTGGTTTTACATAATATGGTTTTACATATATTTCTATTCCTGTATATTTATTCTAAATCACTTAAAATTTACTGTGATATATGAATGTATCTAGAAACTTGGCCATGTTTAATTAGAAATATTAGTTTTGGAACAAAAAAAAAACGACAGAAAGCCATCTGGAACTTTCTAAGTGATAGAAACGTTGAAACAGAAATGTTTATTAAATATTTCACTAGGATATAAGCGGTTCTCATTAGGTTTAATGGGATCTCCTTTCGGAAATATAACATGAAGCTCAAATATGAATTTACATATTTCTAGTTATAAATATGAAGAAATTTTATTAGTTTTTTCCTGATCAATCAAAATTTTCAAATAACCAGTAAATTCACCGCCACACAGTTTGATACCGTTCAAATAAAATTTACCATGTACGAATCAAATCTCAAATATTCTAAAGCCCTAATCTAATGGAAGTGAACGTTATTTTCAAGCGAAAAGGGGGTGGGAGTCGTAAAATTTTACGAGCGGTTGTCATGGCGACCGCGCCATTATGTAGTGCTGTGGCGGTCCGGTAGGGGCGCTGTTTGGCATGGCTACTTAGTTTTTATTTATTTTTTTAAGTAGATTAAGAGTTGATTTAGGTTATGTTGACATGCAATTGTGTACAATAAAATGTCGGAACTTGTGTAAAAAATATAATTTGGTTAGTGTGGTAAGTATATTGATAAAACGTATAAAGCTATCTCCATTCCGAATTTAACTGAAATCCTTTGAGCCGTACACACTCGCTTGCTCACTCGTAAACTTTCAACGTTCACAAACTTTGGCAATTATAATATTGGTGTGACTCCATACATATGACCACAACCGAACCAAATTTTGAACGAACTTTGAAGTAGGCCATTAATGTACTATTAATATCGATAAACCCATCCATTTTTTGTCCAGGATAAAGACCCTAAAGGATTTTTTTGTCTTTTTCGGGATACAAAGTAGTCTATATTATAGTTCTCTATTTATATATTAGATTTCATCTAAATCCGTCTAGCCGTTTCAGCGTGAAGGAATAACAAACATACAGACATATATGTTTTTGCATTTAAAATAGTAGGCGTTTGATAAACAAATAAATAAATAAATATGTTGGGACACTAACGAACAGCACCATCTAGTTCCATGGTAAGCTACGATGGACGAGGTCTGTGATGGATACCAGATAGTTGATACTCTACACATAGGTATATAACTTTAAATACATACATATTATAAATGTAAACACCCATGACTGGAGTACAAACATTTGTGTTCATCACACAAATAAATGCCCCCAGCGGGACTCGAACCCGTGACCGCTGGCACAGCATGTGGTGTCATTACAAACTGAGCCTAACGTGTCGTTAAAACACATCAATTTTATTAATAAGTCTATGTTCAACAAATTAATTGTTCGAGACCAAAGCACATACAAAATGTGAGCTATCTAAACAGTAAATTCAATTAAAACTTTAAAAAACGTCGAGCTATAAAATGCATTCGCACTCGCCACTGTAGTGCAAATGTTCTTTTAATTGCCCTATAACTACCACTTATTTGTAAAAGATATACTCTATATATGTAAAATTAAACGACTTTCTTTTTTCTAAAGCTGTTTTTTTTATTTTTTAGTAAACTTTTATCCCCTTACGTAATATAATAAGAAATACATTTAAAAATAACTTCTTTATTTTATATACATCGCGAAATTTCGTAGAACATTTGCGCTATAAACTTATAACTAACAAAAAAAAATAAAAAACTTATAGTTAAATTCTGATCTAAATGTTTGGTAGTTTTTAGAGTTGTTAGAGTTATGTCGGAATTTATGGCTCTAGTTTAAATCTGGTTTTAAAGTTGATAAAAAACGTACGTATAGTTTTCACCATAAAAACTAATATTATAAAAGTGATAAGTTGTGTTATATGTATGTTTGTTTGTTACTCCTTCACGCTGAAGTTGATGGACGGATTTGGATGAAATTTAGTTTAGAGATACCTTTGATCTAGAATTATTAACAAAATAAATAGATATGTTGGGACATTAACACACAGCTCCATTTAGTTCCATGCTAAGCTACGAGGCTTGTGTTATGGATACCAGATAGTTAATACAGTACACATATATAACTTTAAATAAATACATATTATAAATATAAATACCTATGACTGGAGTACAAACATTCTTGCTCATCGTACAAATTAATGCCCCCATCGGGACACGAACCCATGACCGTTGGCACAGCAAGTAGGGTCACTACAAACTGAGCCAAACGTATCGTCTATATATAAATAACATATAGGTAACTTAACTGTCCCTAGTAAGTCACATTCTACACATTAATGCTATGTGAATATGTTATGTTCATTATAATATTATGTCGAACCACAATTTCATCTACTTTTTCGAAAGTCCGGCTCGAAAGTGTGTTTCGATTAGATATAAGCAGATGTTGGGTTAGACATTAACTAAGCTTACGAATTTACATAAAAATCCTGTGGCAAAAGATAAAATAGCCAAATGGTTTATGATGGAATGGATTGGTTTAATGGATTTTTGATAAGTGGCCTAAGTAAATATAGTAAAATATTTTATCTGTCTGTTTGTAAATACGTTTTATATCGGTGTGTAAGTTTATGACTTCCCCAAGCTACGATAACTGTGACATTATATTAAAAAATAAGTGTACATTCATTTTGTATATGGTGTATGAAGAAGCGGTATCTATATAAATAGACTAGCTTTTACGTGCGGCTTTGGTCGTGTAGTGTTATTGCTCCGCACCTAAAAGTTTTAGCATGATATTAGACAGCCTATATATAATCTTAGGCTATATTCTATAAATAGATTGCAAAATAAAAAAGAAAGAATTTTCAAATTTGAATAGCATTTTCAACAAATTCTTCAACGTTTAGTATAGATTTCTCAAAGATGAGATATTTTCACGCAGTAAAAAGTACCTTATATGCTTACCCGGATAACCAGCTATCATCATACCAAACATCAAAATCTGTCCAGTGGTTTTCTCGCGATGCGTTCCTAGACAGATAGACAGACAGACAAAATTTTGAAAAACTATAGATTTAAGCCTCTGTATCGATAATACTGAATATTTCAATGAGATTTACCAAAAAATAGTTAATGTACAGATTCGAATTTTATTATATTTATAGACTAATTAATATATTAGTATAAATCATCTCTCCAGTGACCATGATTGAAGTAAAGCATTCGAATCGTCGTGAACCAAAAATCGAAATAAAATCCGCAAATTACCTATTTCCTTTCCTGCATCCATCTTGCAATTTGATTTAAAACCTTTAAAATATAGTTTATATGAACTTTAAGTATTGTATTCATTACCTACTATTTTTACTAAGCAAAGTCTTTCATTTACTACACAGTATGTAGTATTTAACAACTGTAGTAGAAAAATATGCGAATAGAAAACTGCGGAAGTGACATGAATGTAGATCAAGAGCTTTTAGCTTTTATCGCAAAGATCACTCGTAAACGCTTGAAAAGGAAAAATTATGAAGATATTATACACACCATTTAATACTTTCTTGTTAAGAACAATTATTGCTTACCAAGCATCAGAAATAATAAAGGGTTTGGTTAAACATTCTTTCATGAAACCGTAAGTAGGAGTCGAGTATTATGTTTTCTTTTTTCCACTAGATCTTTGATATAAACAGTGGAATTAAATTAGTTGTGTTTTTTAATGAATAGGTAGGTAATAATTATTAAAAAAGCTAATGCTTATAAAATTGTTTTTATAATTTTATGTTCAGCAGGTACAGTCTAGTAACGTTAAACGATGTCCTGTCAAAATTTCAATATTAGTAGTTTTTGAGTTCATTCATTTATCTTTTAGAAAAACAACATTCATTTTTTCCCGAAGTTTTGGCAGCAATTTTTCGCATTCCCCAAAACTTTGTTCGAAATATGACGAATATCTAATATATAATATACACAAATCGGTCCACCATTTCATTTTTATTTATATACCTAAATATGTAAATAACTTATTAGTATTAAAGAAATCTATCCCACGGGAGCCGTACATTTTCCGAGATAAAAAGTAGACTATGTGTTATTCTGATGTATAAGCTATATTATTATAAAGTTTCATTAATATCCTTTCAGTAGTTATTGCGTGAAAGAGTAACAAACATCCATACATCCTCACAAACTTTCGCATTTATAATATTAGTAGGATACAAAAAATGGAATGTTCTGAAACATCCATTTATATCTAAATGTATAAAAATCAATACTATTTTTCTCTTAAAACAGCATCCGCATTATAAAGCAACACCAACCACACCAGGCCGAATTCGTCAGTAAAGGTTTGTTATGCAGTGATAATTGACGGTTGTTCGACGTATAGCAGCAACCGATGAAAGATAGGGTGGACATGTTATGCTGTGTTTAGTTTGGGCGTTGAAGAACTTGTTTATACGTGTGTATGTTGAAATGCAAGTTTGTTTGTTTGTCCCTTGGTTAAAGGATTTTGACTGTAACACATTTAGATTGTTTTTTTTTTATTTATATATAAAGTATACACTATATAACGATTAAATGACAGTAGTTTTGAACCGTAATTTTCTTTTAATATTTACTTACTCATCTCATCGCTGTGTCTCAAACCTCACTTTGTTTTCATTAAAGATTAATATGACGGCTTCATACTAAGTTCAGACGAGACTCCTATAGAAGACAAATGTAGTATAGTGTATAATATTGGTCGTATAATTTAGACAATTTTGTGTATTGCCATCTTGTCCAATCAATTTTCTTATCAATGACTTCAAAGCGTTGCCGTCTCTTAACCAAAATTTAGATTTGACGTTGTTTACCACCTATTATGAAAAACTTCTCAATTAACTATTTTTCCAGTCGTCTCTTCTCAATTCGATATGGTCGCCCTACTAAGGGCAAGTCAAGAATACTTCGTTTGATGTAGCGGCGCGGTAAGCGCTCTGTTTATGTTTACACACACGTTTTGTACTCAACCGAACCGTAGTTCCTTTACATACTAGTGATTTTGAAGAAAAAATTAAGTGTGTGAAATTTAAAAGCTTCTTACATCGTTTACTTCTTAGTTCTGGATTCTGTTGTCTTAAAGGCTTTATGGAACTGTTTTTTTTTTAACTTGAATGTGTTTTTAGTCTTTTAATAGCTGATATTTGTTGGTTTATAGATTATTACTACCGACTTACCATCACTTTGCTCGAGTGGGTTCCTAGGTACGCTGATTTTGTTCACAATTTCGTGGGTTATAAGTTTTTTGCGAAGAACCCTGATTCTTTTTCTAAAATAAAAATTCCCTAAGTTACTCCTTATAACATCAGCTATCTTTCAGTGAAAGTCCCGTAAAAATCGATTCAGACGTTTCGGAGATTAGTCGGAACAAAAAGACAGACAAAAATAAAAAAATAAGACATTTTTCTTATTAGTACCGTATATACTTTCACATGCATTTAGTAAAAAGCTGTTATTTTGACATTACTACAAGCAGACACTTCAATTTTATTCATATGTATGTATAGATTACCTTCAGCTTTTAGATGATTTAACTGATCTTAATCTAACAAAAATCATTTCTTGTCTTGGAAATTTCAATATAACACATATAATATTGTAATATATTTTAAATATTATTAATATTATAAATATAAATGTAACTGTCTATTATCTTTTTACGCTTACATCACTAAACAGATTCGGATAAAATTTGACAAGTATAACATTAATGGGATGTATCCTTGGAACGGACATAGACTAACCTTTGATCCCCATCCAATTTTCTAATCAAGCGAAGCCGCGGGCTAAAGTAGTATTGTATAAGTAAGAGAATATGTATGTTTTTTAAAATTTAAGTTAAACACGTTACTTAGGATGTCACTAAGGAGCATATGGAAATGAAATATAAATAGCATTTTAAAACACTTCGTTTAAGATCATATTGAGTGTCATGAAAGACCGGAAAGGAGATAATAGAAGATCCCGATCTATGTGGTGGACCCTTCACTCTTTTTCCAGGCGAAATATATTTTTTACATAATAAAACATATTAACAAACATGACCCATGGGGATCCAGGCTCCAGGCTATTTTTAATTTAAAAAAAAACTTTATTTTTTAAAGTACCAGAACTCTTTTCCTTTGACAACTTAGTATCAATCGAAATTAAAAGACTTGTAGGAAACGATATATTACTTGACATCCAGATATATACAGGTAAATTGAAGTAGTTAATTGCTCGTATCGTTTTCCGGAACCGACTAAATCAAAATGTAGATAATTTTAATATAAATCTAATTATATAAACGTGAAACCAATGGAGTTTCCTTAATTTCTTTGAAATATTATAAAGAGGCTTCTACACCCTAAGTACTTCGCGACCCCACACAGGCCGGCCCTGCCCACAGGAAGCAAGCAAATCTTTATGCAGTAAAATCACCTCAATCCTTTACTTTGTTGCTGTTCAAGAAAGACCAACATGCCCACTTTTCCTTATATAATATCAATTGAGAATTTTTAAATCATATGTACTTCTATACCAATATTATAAAAAGGAAAGATTTTTTGGTATGTTTGTACCAAATACGCTCCGAAACTACTGAACCGATTTAGATGAAATTTGGTAAGATGATAGATTGAGACCCTGGAAAGGATATAGGATAGTTTTTATCCCAGAAATCTTCCCTCAAAGGGTTGATAATGGGGATGAAAGTTTGCATGGGGAATCAACATTAGGGACCAACCCGAGCGAAGCGAGGGTGAGTCGCTAGTAACTAATAAAAACTATGGCCATTTCTACCAAAAGGACTTTTAAATATGTAACTAATAACCCCTAAAGATAACCTTGGGGTTGTTATTTTCCTTTTTTCAATTAAAAGTATGCATAATAGTAAACAACACAATTAAATGAATACCAAATCGTATTTTAAAGTGAACCAATCATAATTTGCATTTTAATAGTATTTACTTAATAAGGTAATATAGAATTGTATCTATCTGTGTTACAAAGAGTTAATCTATTGATCGGGGCGGTATTGAAACCTTTCAAGCTTTAAGCTGCTGATAATCCCATTGTATTTGAGCTTTTCGCCATATTTAGTCATCACATTAGTACATCACATACAACATAGTATGATAATATCTGTGATCTGACCGAAGTTTAACTTGGCGGTTTCCGCAAATAAAATTTATAATGTATAGTTAAATTAATTATTGATTTATATTATTATAGTGATATTTAGAGTATAAGACCATTTTAACTCTAAATTCTAAATTTTAGTGTTTTAATTTAATATTCTTAAGTTCAAACTAATTTTACATCACATAGTCATTCCATAAAGAATAACTTGGTGTAAATCTACTCTAAAATATATTAATCATACGTTTTTAAAAGAAAAAAACAGTTGTGTTGTCTTATCTATACAGATAAATAAAATTGATGTGTCTGTTTGTAATGTCAAAATAACAGCGTTTTACTAAATGCGTATGAAATTATATGCGGTACTTATAAGAAAAACACAATTTTTAAAATTTTTGTCAGTCTGTTTGTTTGTTCCGGATAATCTCCGAAATCGCTGAACTGATTTTGACAGGACTAACACTGAAAGATAGCTGATGTTATAGGGAGTAACATAGGCTACTTTTATTTTAGAAAATGAATTAGGGTTTTGCTCAAAAAAATTAACATGTACCTAGGGTCGAACCCGAGCGAAGCGAAGGTGAATCGCTGGTTCCATTATAAAATTTGGATTGTTTGTATGAATGATATCAAGAACTACTACTCGAAAAGGTCCACTATGCTACATTATACCTAAGTAAAAAATTGTACTTCTAAAGGCAATTCCATACCGAGTGGGACAATGAGAAAAAACTAGTGTGCGTATATTTTACGAACATTTTGAATTTTTTATTAATAATAATTAAAGTATATTTTGCTTTTCTTTACAGAATCCTTCAATCATGGACAACGGGCACGCGCTCACAGACCGAATAGAAAACATCGAGCGGCAGTCGGTAATATCTCGATATATACTAACTAACACTAGTGGTTCACCCTCGCTTCGCTCGGATTCGCCTCTAGAAAAAAAATAACAAACCTATTCCACAGGAACCGTATATTTTCCGGGATAAAAAGTAGCCTGTGTGTTCTTCGGATGTATGAGCTATATATAAAGTTAGTTTATATATAAAGTTTCATTAAAATCCATTCAGTATTTTTTGCGTGAATAACAAACATCCATACATCCTCACAAACTTCGGATTTATAATACTCGTAATAATAAGATTTGCCCTTAATTTCATCAGCGTAGTTTATTTATGTATAGTGTGTAAAAAATACAATTATTTCAATTGATGCTAAACAATAAAATAAGCTAAGTCTTTTCCATGTCTATACATATTATTACATATACCTAATTAAATTCTGAGTCGAATCTGTACATTAAATATTGTTTGGAAAATCTTATTGAAATAGTTATTATTATATATCGATACAGAGACGAATCTATAGTTTTTAGAATTTTTGTCTATCTGTCTGTTTGTGACCGCATCACGAGAAAATCACGGGACAGGTTTTTGATGAAATTTGGTATGATGATAACTGGTTATCCGGATCAACATATAGGATACATTTTACTGCGCGAAAATATCTCATCTCTGAGAAATCTATACTAAACGTTAAAACGTAACTAGGGACGCACCCGAGCGGAGCGAAGGTGAGTCGCTAGTCCAGTTATATGATTATCTCCATACTAATTCTAAAGTTCAAACAATGATTTTTTGTCTGTTTATCTTCTTGTATTGAGTTATTTTTGAAATGGGTAAATCGATTTCAATTGTAGGAATAAAATAGATCACTCGTTACAAGCGAAGCGGCGAGCCAAAGCTGGTTTTGTAAGTTCATACGAACAAAATCGCATATTTTTCCTAGTATATTGTGACGCATAAACATGGCTTTTCTTATTTTTATTGTATATTTGACCGTGTCTCGTGAGTTTCATGTCATTTCCGGTCGGACGACCGACGAGGGGTTGTGGTTGCGAAAGCGCAAGAAAATAAGTTGCTAGAAAAAAATCTGTACTATTATTAAACTCTACATAGTAAAGTTATAGTACGGAACCGTCGTCTTTGATCTCTATACGTACATGTGAAAGGAAGTTCTTCGGCGAGCATCTGTACGTATGTATGTATGTGCGCGCTAATCTCGAAAAGTGTTGAACTTTGAATCCGGTTTTACATTATTGTAAAAAGGTACAGTTTGGTTTGTTCACGTGAACGGTATCAAAACATAGCACAACTTATGCCCCACTGCAAACGTACTCCCACTGCTAGGCACGAGCCGAGCCTCTCTTCAATGCAAGGGGTTTCAGCTGCCATAGTCCACCATTGTAACATCTATCCTTTTTGAAATAAATAATTTTCAATTAAGATATAAAAATTATTAAGTGGCGATTTGAGCGCAAAGTTATATTTGCTAAAAATATTTTTTGACAGAGTAATGTCGGTCCTTTTTGAAATAAATAATTTTCAATTAAAATATAACATGTGGGGCATGTTACTACTGTCTCTAGCCATTATACCGTAGAAATGGAATACTAAACGGCGTTAATATTTAAAGAGGGCATCTGAATTCAACTCAGTCTGGGTGGTGGGGTCAAAGAGCGTTCAGAGTCATCACCAAAGTCGCAACAGCAGTTTATGTGAAAAATCTTAAAAGAACTTTTGCTTTAAATTGTACCTACTCTTTATTACATACAAGCGACTCACCCTCACTTCGATCGGGTTCGTCCCTAGGTTGATTCCCCCATACAAACTTTCAACCCAATTTCCACCCCATTACGAGAAGATTTCCGGGATAAAAAGTATCCTATGTCCTTCCCAAGCTCTCATACTATATTCTTACAAAATTTCATCTAAATCGGTTCAGTAGATCCAGAGAACAACGGCACAAACTCACAAACTTTACCTATTTATAATATTAGTATAGATATAATATTTTGTTATTTAGATATACTATAGTCGCCTGTGTGTCACTCCAGGTCATAGATTATTTGTGTACTAAATGTCATCCAAGTCGATCCAGCCGTTTTAGCCAAATAAACGCATTTATAATAATATAGTGTAATACGTTGCCTCGCAAGTATTCGAAGTTCAATTTTTTTAATCATCATTTAGTTCGTAGAGAAGTATAATACAACAATGTATTATGTCGAAAAATATCACGGCCCGTGTTTCAAGGACTGGTCGGTTATCTATAGCTATATCTACTAATATTATAAAGATGTAAAGTTTGTGAGTTTGTCACGTTATAGAGGGTAATCTCTGGATATATTGAACCGATTTAGATGAAATTTGATAAGAAGATAGTTTAAGACCCTGGGAAGGACATATGATACTTTTTATCCCGGAAATCATCCCTTAAGGGGCTGAAAATAGGGATGAAAATTTGTATGAAGCCTACCTTTTTAGTTTTTTTTTGTAGTTTTGCGCGAGTGAAGCCGCGGTTTCTGCTAGTATGTTTATATATAAAACATAACTAATTGTATGTATAATGAACGCCGTCGGTACTATTGAGTGGCCGGAAGTCGCGGGTTCCTTCCCCGTTCGAGAAACTTATTTTATATTGAGGGAAGGGTTTCGAGCTAAATTCAACGAAATATAAAGGACGGAGTGCTGACTCATTTCATATCCTTTCGCTTACCCGCAAATATATGTCTATATATACAAATTATACTTATACAAATATAATAAGACGAAGTAGTAAAGCTTGCCGAACCCAAAATTGTTAAAAAATATACAATAAATATACAAAAAATATGTAGCTTTTACAAAAGAAATATTATAAAATGTTTTAAATAGACAAGCATAAAAAATATTTTGTGTTAATTTTTGTTGAAAATCTCTTAGGGTTAGGTTACGTAACAGTTATGCACATAATTATCATATTGAATATACATACATATTAATTATATTGTATTTCTTTTCGTTAGATGGCGTGCTGCGATTTGAACCGCAACCCTACAATAAGAAGCTGGAATTAAACAGTTCTGGGAAAATACACTGCAAAGTTGCAGGCGGTGCTTCTCCTGTAGTCACTTGGTCATTGGTATGTTCATTTTTTGTACTGAATTTGTTTATTTATTAAACAAAAAGTTCTTTCAATGTATTATTTCAAAGTAAATATCACTACATCTAAAAAGCCGTAAATAAAAAATTAAATTATAAAAATAAAAAAATCGACTGCGTTAAAAATGAACAGGTCGACGTAAGCACATAGTTTTATGCAGACAGAAAAATACATACGTACTCTCAAGAAGACTCGCAACAAGTATAACATATATATCCCTGAATACATAATATACTCGTATATATATGTCCTTCATCCACTTGATGTCATCTTTTTAGTTCGTTTTTATATATGCGTTATTGTCTAGCTTATTGTTCTGTAGGGATGTGCCACATGAGTCGAGGAATGCGAAGAGATCTCACTATAATTTCGGACATCTTACTATGATTTCGGATCAAAAAATCGATGTATTTATTAAATTCTCAAATACAAATATTGCTTCTTAATATACCTCAATTATTTCGTTAGAACGATGCAGATCCCCTACCAGAGGGTGTCACATCAGCCAATGGTACGTTGATGGTGTCAGAAGCTAAGAGAAGCCACTCTGGCAACTACACCTGTCGGGCGTCTGATGGTGACCAGAATATAACAGCGAGAATCACTTTGGATGTTGTTGGTAAGATTTTATGTTTTTATCTTTTAACTAAGTCATTGAAAATTTCTATATTTATTTAATATGTATATGAATATGTACCGTAAACACCTCATATACTTTATATTATAGGTATACGACTTTTTACTATAGTAGAAGCAGGCACAAACATTTACATACTTTTTATTTGTAATTAAGAACTTCTTTTATTTTAAGAATTAACTTTCAAATTCGTTTGTAATTATTGTTAATTATCAATTCCTCGTTTTAGTTGCTCCAAGAGTAATAGAACCGAGCCCGGGACAACAAATGCACGTAACAGTGGGACAGACTGTGTCCCTTAACTGCTTAGCGTCTGGGGATCCCCCGCCCACCACGCACTGGGATAGAAACCTGACGATACTTCATCAACAACGTAAGTATGCGAATACGACAAGTTTGGCTCAGTTTGTAGTGACCCTTCATGCAAGAGTGTTTGTACTCCACTCATGGATGTTTATATTTATAATATGTATATATTTAAATTTTTATATATATATATATATATATATATATATATATATATATATATATATATATATATATGTGTGTGTGTGTGTGTGTGTTGTGTATCAACTATCTGGTATCCATAACACAAGCCTCGTAGCGTACCATGGGAGTAGATGGTGCTGTGTGGTAATGTCCCAACGTACTCGTATTTATTATATATTTATATTTCAGGTTAATTTTATAGGTAGGTATATACACCAACTGATGTTACGTGTTTGTTATGTTCACGTAAAACAGATCGCTGTTCTTTCGTAATGAATTCCATATACGGATGCGTTTTTGTATCATCAGTAATTTAAATTGTAAAAAAAAAAAAAAGTTACAGCTAAAGGTCGTAAGACCAATGGCACCTAAAAAATTCTTAAACTTCCAAACTACTATGACATACACATCTACCCATAGTTATTTGAGTGATTTGAGTGATTACACCCAAAAAAAATTGGAAAATTTAATCGAGTACGAACTGAATAAAAACTTCAGACGACAAATCCGTTATTTTATAGATCGATACAATAAGTACATACTCGTATATTCATTTGTTTTTTAATTTCACAGAAGATGGAGTCGACATTGAAGGTGGAGTAAATGCTTCGAGTTCACGGTATGTTTTATTTAAAGTACTATGTAGCTTATTAGTTTTTGTTCATTTGAAAATCCAAAGTTTATACATATGAGTCTATTTTAAACGTTACTAGCGACTCACCCTCGCTTCGCTCGGGTTTGCCTCTAGGATAACAAAAACAAATCTATCCCACAAGTACCGTACATTTTTCCGGGATAAAAAGTAGCCTATGTGTTATTTTGAAGTATGACTTATATTATTGTATAGTTTCATTAAAATGCATTCAGTAGCTTTTGTGTGAAAGAGTAACAAACACCCATACATCTAGACATCCATACATCCTCACAAAGTTTCGCATTTATAATATTAGTATAGATAGTATTTTTTTTTAATTAGCAAATTGTAAGCGGAAGAAAGATAGGGCAAGAGAAAGTTATAAGGTAGAGAATATAAAGTATATTAATTATTATACTAATACTAAAATAAAAACAAATTTATCACACAGGAACCGTATATTTTTCTGTAATAAAAAGAAGCGTATGTGTTATTCCAGACTATAATCTATCTCTGTGCCAAATTTCATCCAGATCCGTTCAGCCGTTCTGGCGTGAAAGAGTAACAAACATCCATACATACTCACAAACTTTCACATTTATAATATTATATTAATAGTAATGCAGATTAGTAATTAGTAAAAGTAAATTACTGTAGTAATAGTATTAGTATTTGTATAGATATAATATTTATTTGTTTCTCAGATTAATCCTTCTAAACAACGGTACTCTTCTCATACGCGATGTGAAAGAGGAGGATTCAGACAGATACGGCTGCACGGCCGGCAGCGCCGCCGGCTTGGCCAGAATTGAACTGGAACTATTTGTTCATCCAGGTATGCTGCTTTATATATCTAATATATTTAAACGAGCAATTCTTGTATATGTATATATGTATATAATATAATACAAATATAATCTGAATCTCGGAAACGGCTCCAACGATTTGCATGAAATTTAGTATACTGGGGGTTTCGGGGGCGATAAATCCATCTAGATTAGTTTTATGTCTGGGGAAACGCGTGTTTTCGAGTTTTCATGCGGTTTTGTCTCGCATTATTCCACGCAAAATATGATCGCTAATTCGCACGCTAGGACATAAGCATCGTGGTCAAACGGCTAAGGCGCAAGTTTGACAACCACAGACGTCTAGGTTCGTATCCCGGTCGGATATAAAGTTTTTACTTTTGTTTTCTTTGTATTTATTCAAATTTTTAGTTTGTTTTTTTTAATGTTTTTTTTTGGCCAAAAACTCCGAGCGAAGCTCCGTCGCACAGCTACTTAATTCTTATACAAGCAACTTACCCGTATTATATAAAACATGGGTGTTTTAGTTCTATTGCTTTTTCATGGATTCCGTGAAGGTTAGTCTTCTCTTATATAACAGGTTTCAAGACGCCATCGGATCCAAAGCAAATTATCCACACAATAATCCTGGACACTCGATATACGTTCGAATTAAAAGTGTTTCAATATGTTATTGACTATCACATAACTAGAGTACAAATATTCGTGCTTATCACACAAATGAATGGCCCCAGCCGTACTCAAACCCGCGACCGCTGGCACAGCAAGTAGAGCCACTACAAACCGAGCCAAACGTGTCGTCAAAAATATATCCTACGATATGTTAATTTTCATTTTTGAAGTTGGTATATTTTTAGGGTTCCGTACACAAAGGGTAAAACGGGACCCTATTACTAAGACTCCGCTGTCCGTCCGTCTGTCTGTCTGTCTGTCTGTCCGTCTGTCCGTCTGTCCGTCTGTCACCAGGCTGTGACTCATGAACCGTGACAATAGACAGTTGAAATTTTCACAGATGATGTATTTCTGTTGCCGCTATAACAATAAATACTAAAAAACAGAACAAATTAATATTTAAGTGGGCTCCCATATAACAGACATGATTTTTTTACGTTTTTATAGATAATGGCACGGAACCCTTCGTGCGCGAGTTCGACTCGCACTTGGACGGTTTTTTTATATGAATTAATTTTTTCAGAAGGCGAACTACCCCAAGAGTCTACAGGCGTAGCCGGGAAAGCAGTGCTAGTTTCCATATCAGTGGCCGGAGCCTACATGATATTAGTGTTAGCTCTCATGCTATATTGTAGACGGAGACGATTGCAAAGAAGGCAGCGAGGTAATGTCAAAATAACAGCGTTTTACTAAATGCATATGAAATTAAAAAATTAAAAAAACATTGTTTTTTAAAAAATTTTCTTCTGTCTGTTTGTTCCGGACAATCTCTGAAACGGCTGGGCTGATTTTGACGGGACTTTCACTGGAAGATAGCTGATCTTGTAGGGAGTAACATAGGCTGCTTTTATTTTAGAAAAAGAATTAGGGTTCCGCTCATAAAAATTAAAACTTACCTCGGGACAAATCCGAGATGATTTCATGGTTATGAAATCAAATCAAAATCAAATTATGTTTAATTTATGCCGATTTGGCTGACACCCAAACTTATTTGAACAAACACGTTAAATAACAGACATTTTATTAGTTTAATAAAATATTGTATTAGTGTAATTATCACTACTCTCAAAATTATTTTGTGATTTTTTCCGTCTGGATTCCAATAAACTCTTATAATGTTTCAATCAGGTGAAAAAATGGAGTTAGAGATGGCAGAAGGGAGAGAGAAGTTAGTAGAAGAGGGAGTAGAAGAAGAGAAGAAAGTGACAGTGAACGGCGTGCCCGCGCACAACGGCCGCCTCATGCCACATGATAGGGATAGTGGTATGTTAATATTTAATTAACTGTAATGTAATGTTTTAATTATAATTTAAAAATGTGCATTTTTACCTTTCTTTTATATCTATATTAATATTTTAAAGATGTTTTTGTATGTTTGTTTGTAAAGGATAAACTAAAAATCCGCTGAATCGATTTAGATGAAATTTGGTATGAGGATAATTTTAGACTTTATCTCGGAAATCATCCCTTATGGGAGTGAAAACAGCGGTGGGTTTGTATGGGAAAATCAATCATTTCTCAAATAAGGGATATAAAACTCATCATACCTATGTAGATATTCATAAAATAATGTTTATTTTTTGGTAATACTGATTTAACTATTTATTAGACTGTACAAAGTTACTTGGTTTTTACAGTCATTGGTGTTGAAAACAATTATTTACGTAAAATTGTATTTTTTTAATATTCAAAAATATATATAAAATAAATTCGAATGTTTACGTTTGCGAGTGAAAATTTTTGTTTCTTGTTAATGTTATATAGATAGTTTTCCTTATTATAGATAGTTATTTGACATTAGCTCCATATAAATTACTAGCGACTCACCCTCGCTTCGGTTTGGGTTCGTCAGACATAGACAAAAATAAATCTATCCCACGGGAACCGTATATTTTTCCGAGATATAAAGTAACCTATGTGCTATTCTAGACTATAATCTATCTCTGTGCCAAATTTCATCCAGATAGGTAGTTGGAATCCACTCTTAGAGGACTTCAGTAAAATTCGTATGGAGAAAGCTTACGTTCTGGGCATATTTTTAAAGGTGAACTGCCATACGAGTGGAGTCGCGGGTAATATATAGTTAGTGACATTGACTAATGTTAATGTATTTTTTACAGGTGCTGACAATTCTGAAGTGTCGGGTATATCTCGGGCTTCGAAGAAATCAGGGCAATATGATCATCTCACCGTGCCCAGGACTTTACTGACTGAACAGATTGTTTTAGGTATTTAATACTTAGATTATATTGTATTCTTTATTATTTTGGTTGTTGTTTTTTTTTCGGAGTAAATTCATGTAAGTCGTCATTCACATGGTCACGTGACGTGTTACGCTAACACTCAAGAGTGCTGATAGATGTCAACACCAGATAAATGTGAACAGTTTTAATTTACAAATTTTAATTTAAGATCAAACAATTAATACGAATATCCAAAAATAACGACTGTTTGTTTATAGTTTTAAGTTCACTTCTGTCTATTACTGAGACTAGCCAACTGCGCAGAAGATGTTATAGTGCACAAGTATGTGAGGGAGAGCGCACACACAAAGTGCACTCTTTATCTCTTTCACTCTCACACTCAGATACTACTTTGATACTCACAGCGAGAACAGGAGCAATACTTTCATCACACTGCCAACTTCCGCATGCCGGGATATTACTGAGAATTTATTAACAGTAATTATTAATAATATTTAGTCCGACCTGGGACCCGAACCCTGGACTTCCGGATCTGAAGCATAGAGAGCTCATAACAGCTATTTTTTTAAAGGCAATGAATAAAGTATGTTTACAATACAGACAAATAAAGGTTTTTTTTTTAATTATTTTTTGAGTTGTATATCAAATTAAATTTATTTTATAAAATAAGCCTTTGTCTCTACTATATGTAGAGTTGATTTAAATTATTATTAATTTTATTAATCATTACTCTCCAGGTCGTGGTGAATTTGGTGACGTATCGTTAGCTAAAATAGATATGGCGCAGTTAAAAAAGCTAAGGAACAAAGACAAGGATAAAGAAATGGAGCCGCACGTGAAGCCTGTGCTTGTTAAAGCCCTCACTACTAAGGATGAGGTATTTTGAGAAGATAAAAGTTTTTTTTTATTAATATTATTCTCTTTATTAGAAAGTTCCAACTTATGTAAAAATAGACTTGCATTTTTTTATTTAACCAGTTTCAATCACAATACTATAAGGTAGTGGTAGCCCAGTGGTAACGCGCTCGCTTGGGAAACCAAGTGAAGCGGGTACAAATCCCGGGTCTCGCACATCTGATATTTTCATGTGCGAATCATTTCTAACATGATTACCACTTGCCTTACGGTGAAGGAAAACATCGTGAGGAAACCTGCATGTCTGAGAGAACCTAGCAAGTTTTCGAAAGACATGTGAAGTCCGCCAACCCGCACTTGGCCAGCGTGGTGGACTACGGCCTGATCCCCCTTGTATTGGGAGGCCCGTGCCTAGCAGTGGGACATCAAAGAGGGCTGAATACATACTATAAGAATGTTTTAAAAAGGTGTCGAATTCATCGAATCTGGCGCAAAAATTTATGAATGACCCAAAGTATTTTTTTTCGTATCATATCATAGAAATTTAATACAACTATTTTGAAGTTATACTTCTATTGGCACGTTTGCAAAAAATTATGAAAGTAAGATTATTACGACGCGCGTGCGCACCGACAGCCAAAAAGCAACATGATGAAGTTAGCTGCATTCCTTTTACAAACAGAGAGTTGTGACATACGGTTGTGAAATCTTTAGCTATTTTTGTTCTGTTACGCCAAAGAAGTATAACTTCTTACGTGCGTACATAAGTACACACACACGTTTTATTTTGAACTAAGTTTTCTTTGTTCGTGATGAGTCCATGGTTGTATATAGTAACTAACACCTTTGCCATGCAAACTTTAACTATATTTAAAAAAAAACTTTCCTTTCCAGGTCCAGTTAGCAGAGTTCAGACGTCAGTTGGAGGTGTTCGCGCGCGCACGTCACGAGCACGTGGCGCGTCTGCTCGGCCTCTGTAATGAGGCCGATCCGCACTATATGCTTCTAGAACATACTGAATGGGTGATTATATTGTTTTTTTTTGGGCTAAAATATGGATGCGGTAAACTTCTAGAATATATATTTCTTTTGGGTAAGGAAAGTGTTAGGAATGTAGGTTTCTAATGGTATTAGGTTTTCAGTTTTACTCGCGATGCTTTTATGTAAGAGAGTGTTTTAAAAGAGAAGGTAGACCGACGACTATGTATTTTAAAACTTCTACTTTTAGCAGCGAATTTATTGTTACTAAAAGATGATTAATCCAACGAAATATACACCCTAATTAAGTACCTCCTTTTTCGAAATCGATCAAAAACGTTGTATCTACAATTAAAACAAACCATTCAATCCCAACAGGGCGACCTAAAGTCCTTCCTAATAGCAACACGAACAGAAGCAGAGAACGAAGAGTACATAGCGCGCGTGGGTCCCGCGCACCGGCTGCCGGCAGTCGCGCCGGCACCGCCGCTGCAGCCGGCGCACGCGGCCGCGCTCGCTGCGCACCTGGCGGCCGCCGCCGCCGCACTGGCCGCTAAGCGGCTCACGCACAGGTATATATACTGGGGTTGGTGTTTTTTTTTTCAGTTGTCGCTTGTGCTGGACGAAAGCATCCACCGGATCTATGAAAATATCTGTAACTCCCTTAAGGGATGATTTCCGGGATAAAAATTATCTTATGTCCTTTCCAGGGTCTCAAACTATCTTCTTACCAAATTTCACCTAAATGGGTTAAGTAGAACCAGAGATTACCCCCTACAACGTCACAAACTCACAAATTTTACCTCTTTTTATAAAGATATATAATATTATTATTAGTATAGATTAAAAATGTATTTAGCAAAAAATCGTTTTTGCTAAATTTTAAACGAATAAAGAATATTTCAGTTGTATTAGTTCTCTCACATATACATACATATGTACATACATATGTACATACACATATATTTTACGCTTGCATCATAGCGTGTTTTTAGATAGCCTATAACAATCTATATCAATAATTGGGCTATGAAATGTATATATTTAACAAAACCGACTGTTGGTTCCAGAGCGTTTAAAGAAAAAACTAACAAATTCTTCACCTTTATCATATTACCTACTGTAGATTAATACTTTTAACAGAGACATAGCGGCCCGCAACTGCGTAATAACTTCGAAGCTGCAACTCAAGCTGTCCTTCCCCGCACTCACCCGCGGACCTAACTCGCACGAGTACTACAAGTTGCACGATCAGGTCAGTTTTGTTTTTTTTTATTGACTTTTTTTATTTGATTACTATTATATGTACTAATACAGCATTTTTACAAAAGTGGACCCATAAAAATGTTCGCACGATTTGTCTGTAGATCCTCGTTTGTGGCTTATAGTTCTTCATTTTCTCGGGAACATAATGCGGTTATAGATGCGAAAGTGCGTGTCTGTGTGTGATTGTGTGTGTGTGTGCCAATGTTTGTTACTTCTTTACAAAGACTAAATAAGAATAAAAGTAGCCAAAAGGTTTTTTTTTTTAATAATATTATATTATAAATAGAAAAGGCACTTACAGGCAAAATCAAGAGAAGCAAGGTTAAATTGCTAGTTGGTAATAAATTTATATTAATATTCTCCTTCCCAACCCAACTTTGGTCACTGCTGCTAATCTCAATGAGACTCGCCAACTGTGCAAGAGATCGTGTGTGTGCATACTTCCTTGGCATGGAGATGAGAATTTCTTTACAGAAATCTCAATATCTGTTTTATCAAAAAACACTATAAATATTTGTATAATAGTAATTGCTTTAATCTTCTACAGGTGATACCGCTACGTTGGCTCCCCTACGAAGCGGTGATGGAAGGCGAATATTCCACTAAGTCAGATGTGTATATGTTCGCGGCTACTGTGTGGGAGGTAAGTTGTGTTCAGCCTTTTCAACGTCCCACTGCTGGGGGTGGGACGCCCTTTAATACGTGGGGGTACTCCACCACGCATATCTTTCGAAAACTTGCTAAGTTCCCTCAGGCATGCAGGTTTCCTCACGATGTTTTCCTTCACCGTAAGACAATTGGTAATTATTTTGGAAATCGTGCACATGAAAATTATCAGAAATGCGAGACCCGAGATTAGAACCCGCTACATTCGGTTTCCCAAACGAGCACCTCGTCACTGGGCTACCACTGCCTATAGATATATATACATAATATATATACTATTTTTACCACATAGTGGTTAGATATAAATGCGTCTTCTAATCTAATGGAGTTATGTTCGTTAAAACGTGCAGACAGACACAAAAATTCTAAATATATTTTTTTGTATGAAATAAAGTTTAAATTACAGTGTTCTGTTAATTCAATGTTTGTTTGTTTGCTGTTTGATGTTCTGTATCCATTAATTTAAAATGTTGTATTTTTTTAATTCAATTCCATTTTCTTGTTGATAATTTCAATACATGTCAGTTGATGTTTTTCTTTATAAAATGGCCTTTACATCATGTACTATATCATATAAAAACTACTAGATTTTTGTTTAAGTGAAACTTCTTTAGAATCGTAGTGATTTGAAACTCGATAAAACGAAAATGTGACACTAGATAGAGACAAACACATAAATATATAGGATTAAGACGGCGAGAGAATGAGATAGAATACATTGCCACGTTGCCATGGTAACTGTTGTTATTGTCTGACTAATATATAATATTATATTCTTTCCGTATATGATATTCTATAAATACATTATTGTAATATGCCTTATTTAATTATTGATTTGTTTTAACTTAATTGCTGTATCTGCCACAGCGCCAAAGAAGTTTTACTTCAACCGCGCGTAAAGGTTATTCAACCCATTCTTTTTTTCAATATAAATCTATTTGCAAATACTATTATATTTTTTAATTCAAAAAGTTACGTACTAAGTTGTGTCTAATTTTTCTTTTTCAGATTTATACAAAAGCCGAAATGCCATTTGCAAAACTAAACGACAACTCAGTGTTAGAAAGGCTGAAGAATGATTCTCTAGAGTGGAATATACCGGGTGCGATGCCCGAGCGACTTGGGACTATACTCGTGAGTTTTATAAATTTATTTAGCGTCCAAAAGTGCCTTTAGCCTATAATCTTCCTATATAATCCCTCTTTCTATTGCTGAAAACCGTATGAAAATCGATACAGTAGTTTCTGAGATTAGCCGGAACAAACACTAAGTCAATGTGGTGAGATGTGGATTCAATTAATGATATTATGAAGCGTATTTGTAGTTGAATTACTTCTAAAATATTCTTTTTAAGGATATGCTGTAAAGAGCAATTTTAATCTGCATTAAATGCACAACGTATGTGACATATTTAATTTAATAGTGATTAATACTATATTGTTTAAAATAGCTTCGTAAATATACCCAATTTTTTTTAATAATATGGAAAAAACTAAAATGGTTACACTGGGTTGTTCTTAAGAGATAGACATATGCCATCGCGGATTTTTCTGTAGACCGTTTTAAGATATACAATCCAGTAATACATTCTTTTGATCTACATATTTCGTAAGTTTTAAGCGTTAGCAAAGTAAGCGCCCAAGAATAGATTTTTTACGACATCATTACAAACTTACTTTCGCTCCGCTCGGGTTTGTTTCTAGGTACGTTTTAACGTTTAGTATAGATTTTTCAGAGATGAGATATTTTCCCACAGTAAAAGTATCCTAAATGTTGATCCGGATAACCACCTATCATCTTACCAAATTTCATCGAAATCTGCCCAGAGATTTTCTCGTAATACGTTCCCAGATAAACAGACAGACAAAAAATCAGAAAACTATAGATTCGGCCTCTGTATCGATAATAATGACTATTTCAATAAGACTTTCCAGAAGAAATTAGAAAGGCTTAGAAGTTAGTGGAAAAAAGACTTTGACATATATAATTTTTTTTTGTAGAAACGGTGCTGGAACAAATCTCCGGCGGATCGACCACAGTTCAATGAGATATCCGAGGAAATGAAAATTATTATACAAGATATGACGTCTGAGAGCGTGTCGCAACACTCGCAGGATAAAATAGAGGAAGAACCTTAAAATGTAAGGTAATTTACTATTAAAAGTGTTAACAAAGTGTCAAGTGTTACAACACTTTTTTAAAAAATGGATAGTTTTATGAATTTGTATTAGTTTTGATGAAAAATGTATTTGATACTTAGAATTTTATAATCACTTAGCAAATTTTCATGTGAAACATCAATCTGGTAAAGGAACGAAATCTGAAAAATATTTGAATAAGAAATACACTAGCAAGTGTAAGATAGTTAAAATATCAACGTGGTTTAGTGTAGTAAGTTACTATTTTAATCGCTAGCGTAACGCTATGTTAAAAGTTTGGTTTTAAACTATGGACAAAATGACTACGTATTTGTAATGGATAAGTGTAAATATTACGTAATATTACAAAAATATATAATTGTAATTTAGTTAATTTATCGGCCATTTGGAAATTAAATATAATTCTGTCGTTAATGACGTCATAATTGTAAAAAAAAATGAACGTCCAACGAATGTGTAATGATATAACAATTAATTGTGGAAATACGAATTAAAAAGTGCGCGTAGAATTTTGACAACAATTTGGCCGCCAATTTGACGGAAAAATGTAGAAAATATAGATTATACATAAAAATTAATGGATTTTTTTGTATTTATTATTTAAATTCAGCTTAATCTATTCACGTATATACTTTTTTATGTACAATACAGAGACTAAAGAGTTAAAAGACGACTTTTAACATATATAAGTTTTTGTCTGCGATTCTGCTCGCGAAAAGTAATGAAAAAAGGGCATTCAAGATATTATTTCACTCAAATTTTTAAACTCCATAAAGAAATTACACTGTAAAGAACAATCTCTTGAATTAATATAAGCGAGATAATATAATAAGACCACCACTCAAAAGACTTCATCGTAATATCATAGGTTTAGTTTTTTAGTCATTTTGAAGCAATTACTACTTATTATTATTATTATTAATGCTAGGTTCAAGTCAATTAAAATATACTTCGATTTTTTATGTAATATTTTTTTACTGTGTAATTTTTTTGTGTTTTGGACACCAATTTTATTTTTATTTATCGTTTTTTTTTATTTATCATTCCAAAATAAAAAAAATTGAATCTCTTCACTCGCACTGAAAAAACTTAAGATTTTTTATTACTTTTTATTAAAAAACATGTACATTAGTACACTTCACATTAATAGACATATGCCACAGATAAAAAAAAATTACGTAAATTATTTTCATCGAAGTTATTTTATTTGACTGCACCATATTATATAATATACACTCAGCTAAAAGAATAAAATACGCGGAGCTTATTAGGACATTAAAATTAATAGTACATTGACAATTTCTCTTTTTTATATTTTTATTTTTTTTTATATTTTTTTATATTTTTACAGTATAATACCTAAATTATAATATCATTCAGGTGTCAACTACTTTTACACGTTCTGCCTATCGTATTCTTTTGGTCTGGGACTATCACTAGCACATGAAGTAGGTAATCGTTACGCACTATAACTTACAATACTGAATATATCACAAACTATATTATATTAGAAATTATAGGTATAATTTAAATTCTTAAATATTATATTTTGCTTTTATTACTGAGACTTACGGAGAGTATATTTCAGAAGATGTATATAACATTATGATAAATTCAAAATTTGTCAAATAAAACAGCCATTGTCAAGAAAAAATAATATAAATAAAGGAACTGGCTCAGTTAATATCATTTATTGTTAGCTATTATTGATATTTTTTATCAATAATGCATACACACTTATTATGAATACTTTTTGATATGGTTTTAAGCGAATTTATAACAGATATTATAAATTGTAACTAAAGTAGTTCTTAAAATATTAAATAAAAAGTAATAAAGACGGTAATATTCTGTATTAAATTGACAATAAATCGGTATACGAACCAACTCGTCAAACTCTCCATATTGTTCAGTGTTCACAAATATATGACACAAATGAATATCTATTTCACTACTATAATGTCAACTCAAATAATCGATATTTTATTAATATATTATATATGATACTTTTGATTTCCACGTGCAAACAGATCTCACACTATTTAACGATTAAAATACATGAATTGATCAAACTTTTTAGATTTTCCTTCTAAATCGAAATATTTGTTATTAAGAATGATTATGTTGTGACATAGAGTATTACTTGAATATCTTTCAAATGAAATGCCAAAAAAATCTCCACTAGCTTAAACATTTTTGTAAGGAACTATATTATGCAAAAGGGGCATAACTTCGAAAATTTAAAAAAAATATAATTGCTTAAAATTATTCTAAACTATTGACTAAATTCTTATTTTAAAATTAGTAATTTGAAATTATTACTGAAGTTTTGTCACCTTTGTGCTTAAGTAAAATATCATTTATTCTATAAAATTAGTTAAGAATATAGGCCTAGTATATCAAATCGCCATCTTAATAAAAAAAAATCATTTTACTTTTTTAACTATATACAAAATCGATAACTTATTAATTTTACTACGTATCGATTATTGTATAACTTGAAAACACCACGAAATAATTATTAAAATGGCCGTTTGACATTTAAATATAGATAAAAAATAGCATACTTAAGTGAAACTCGAAGCTACACGATACTGCCATTGGTGTAAATAATGAGATTAGAATTAAGACTGAATGTAGCGATTTTAGTGTAACTCTAGTTGATTTTCGTCCGAAATTTTGATATAATCACTCGTCCTCGAATGAATCGAAATTTTTAGATTAGGTTTTGTATGAGACTTAGGTTAGGTTTGGATTAAAATGAAAAAATATATTTGCTTTGTAAATTATAAAAGCAATTTTTATGGGTAAATTAGCACGCTCAAATGTGTGACAATTTTATATCGTTTTTTTTTAAATTAATACAATTTCAATAAAAGCAAAGCAGGTATACATCTTGTGTATGAGATTTCTCTAAGATTTTTTTGAAGTTAAAGGCAGCAGTTTGCAGCATTATTTACTTAACAGTGACGATTCTATTTTTTTTATCGTCTGTAGCTACTTTTATCGATACTTTTTTAGATATTATAAAGTCCAATGTTTAGTACATTGGACTTTATAGACCGAAGTTAGTTCCCTAATTTGCCTATAGGGTCTAAGGGCAATAATTTTAAACCCAAATTGTAAAGATTATCGTTTTACGAAAAAATTGTTTGATTTCTATATTATTTTACAATTGTACATTATATCGGATACCAGATGATGCATTTATAGAATAAGGCCTCGAATATAATAAGTGTAGTGTTAGTATTTATTTCTATTTTTGTAAAAAAAATTATAATTTAGGAGCTAGCAGGCAGTAATAGAAAATGATGAGCAAAAGTATTTACATAATAGGCTTTTTAAAATTATTTTTTTCCTTTTTCATTACAAAAATTAAAAAGAAAAATTTCAATTATTTCGTTATATATAAATTTTTATTTACTCATATAATCTGCTAGCTCATTTTAGTTCAATGTCCATATTTTAAGTATTTACACCATATATTTTTTCTTTTTTTTTTTGTAAAGATAAGTTTGGCCAGTTTTATATGTCATAAGTTATTCTTGTATACTTTTTTATTTTTCTTTACACAATAGTATTTAATGTTACACGTAGTCGGTCGGTTCTAAACTGACGCTAGGTTAGAATTTATATACGTAGTGCCAGACTCCTGTAGGATATGACTACATTTGCATACTTAAAAATATTTAGTGTAATTTTTTTCTATATTAAATACAGTTTTTTTTGCATTTTGGCGTTTTTATGTTTTTTTTTTAATTTTATCCTGATTATTTTTAAGTATGCCATTGTGGATCTCTGACAAGATTAGCTTTATTGTCGTGTCAATTTTGTATTTAAATTATATTAATGTAATAAAAACTCGTGCTATGTTTAAATGATTTTGTATAAAATTTGAGTTCCTTATATATATTTTTTAATATTAATTTGTGTTTCGCTTAGGTCTGTGTAACTCGCCGAAATATTATTTTTAAATTATCAAAAAATACTTTTTTCCTTAGTTTAAATTTATAAAGCCCTTTATGTAGAACAGACATACATCTAAATATCTCCGACTGATCTATACTACCATAGACTTGCGTTAGGCGAATTATTTTTTAGCTTTAAATATAATTATTGTAGTTTTAGTTCGTATGCTTATGTGATAGACTGACTCGTGTCATTTTTTTGTACTTTTTTATCTAGCGACGCAGTAATGCAGTGTAATAATGGAAGGAATTTTTGCATTTGCGGTTTTTTAATAAATAATTAATCGGAATGTCTATTTTTATTTAGACCCTACCTTCTAATTTTAAGCTTTCTAGTTTATTTTACAGTACATTTTTTGTCCCATGTGGCTAAAAAATTGCCGATATTAGAACAATTTTTTTCCTAAGGAATCTTGAAAAAGTTCTTGCAAATTTTCTTGCTTAATCAATCAATATTTATTTTACTTTTAAGCTATATAGTCAAGTGAAAATTGCCAAATTGTTAATGTTCCCCATAATTCTAGTTATATTTTTACGAAAATATTTAAGTGTATTCGTATTTTTTTTTATTTATAAAGTTCATATTTGCGTATTTAAGTTTTTACATGTATAAAGTATGAAACATTAAAACAAAAGTAGTGGCATAAATAACTATTTATACACAAAATTTAATATAACAAACACCAAAAAAGTTTAAGAAGTACCTATTTTATTAGGTAAATATAACATAATACTTATACAAATAAAAAAATAACATTTAATATCACTGGGCAGTACACTTGGGCACACATCAATTTTGGGGCCCTTTAGAAGGTTAAAAAAATGTGAATGATGAAATAAAAATTAACTTTATTGAATTAGATTTATAGAAGCACTTTTAAATTGTCAATTTAATTTAACAATAGTCAGCGAGTCGACCCTTGAGGAGGCTACCTTGGCTCAGAAGGCAGAACTGTTGAGTGGAACATCGCCGGGATAAGCTAAACAGTGCTCTTTGTACAAACCAAATTACAGTATTAAATACATTATAGCTATACCGCAAGTGACTTAATTACTCTTAATTCTACACAATTTAAAAATGTTAAAGACGGATGCATTCCAGTTCATTGAACAAGTGCCTCAAGGGAATATTGAGGAGTTCATGATAAAGTAATACTATATCTAAGTTGTTATTACGTTTAATTATAATAAACGTAAAAATGCTTTTAAAACTAGCTTTTTTGATATTAGCGATTTAGACTTTGTTTCGCTCGGATTTGTCCCTAGGTCTCTTCTGCCATACACTTTAATTCATTATTTCAAACCGTTTGAGTAAAAAACTTGTTAATAAAAAAGGCTACTTCAAAAAAAAACAATAAAAACAACTGATTAGTCGTTTTCATCTATACATATAATAAAAAATATCATAATTGGTAACATATCTACAATGGTGACACCATCTGTCGTATTGAAATCAGATTTTTTTTATATATTCAGCCCATTTATTTATTTTAACGTCCTTCTGTTGGGCACGGGCCTCCCTTAAATACGAGGGGATCAGACTCTAGTCCATCGCACTAGCCAAGTGCGGGTTAAGGATTTCACATGTTTTTCGAAAACTTGCTAGGTTCTCTCAGACATGCAGGTTTCCTCAGGACGTCGCCCTTTACTGTAAGATAAATGAAAATCATGTTGAAACGATTTGAACATGAAAATATCAGAGATGCGAGACCCGGGAATTGAACCCACTTCAGTTCCCAAGCAAGCGCGTTACCACGGAGCTACCCAGTCTTGCATGGGCAGGAAATAAAATCTTGTCTACGAATGTCTTACGAGGTACAAAATAATGTATTTACCTACTGTTTGTAATTGTTTTATCGTTTACACTGGAAAAGCTGTAGTGCAGATTTTCGAGCGATATATGTTTGCTAAAATAGGCGATAGATGGCGTTGATCCGAGAACTATTCGAATATGTTATTTAATAAATTTGTATGGACTAAAATATAAAAAATGCAGCAAAATTCATTTTACATATAATAAAATAAATTTCGGCGACTTACCATTTTTAACCGAGATATAACACAAAGCAATCTGCTCTGTTACCTACGAAGTAAAAAATCTTTATTTATAACGACAGATTTTTCAATGATTGACATATTCTTTTTCATAATACATTAATTTGTTATCTCTTATTTAGAGTATTTTTTAAAACCATAATATACATTTTTGGGATCTACTCTTTTTCATTTATTAATTTTAAATAAAAAAATGACATAACGCCATCTGATGAAATGTATTTGAACTAATTAAAGTAAGAAAAGGAAGGAATAAAAGTCAATGTAAATATTTTAAATTTTATTGCAATTGTTCGTGTAGTAGAATTCATTGATTAAATGCATAATTATACAGTCTTACGAATAATACATATGAAATCTTCCGCCTTGTTTTGGACTTCATCACTACACTTCTATAATGACTTGAATAAAAATGAAAGATTAACATATTACAAGTATATGAATACTCAACAAAATAAGTAATAAATATCTCAATTTAGTCATCATCTTACATATTTAAATCGTTACATTACAGGGTATATCAAAAAAATCCAGACTGCAACTGTTCCTTAGAAGCATAACGGTTCTTTAGAAACCATTTTTTTATTCTTAATTATTAAAATCGTATTTTTACCTTGACAAGAATATAAAATTCCTTATTGAATTTTATATGTATATTTTTTTTATTAACTAGTAAATTAATAAATCGACTTTGAAAAAATCCAATAGAAAAAAAAACTCTTTGACATATAAATCAAATTAAGATATTTCATCAAAATTAAAAAAACTGGTTTAAAATTCTTAAAATAAACAAATAATGTAAGTTTGACAACAAAATTAATGTTTGAGCATTTACAATATTCATATACACATATCTATAGAATGTATGAATCAATCATTTCATAGAAAATTTAAATCTTAAGTAGTTTAGTTTCAATAGAAATTTTACATTATAATACAATACTGGTGGCATTAACTAGCGCGAGGCCCGAGCTTTCGCAGACAGGAGATACCCTGGAATTAAATAAAAACATATATAATAATAATGCTCTCCTGACCGATTCCGGCCACGGCGGCCAATCTCATTGAGACTAGCCAACTGTGCAGGAGATATTATAGTGCACAAGTGTACGCGCAGACACAAGTGCACTCTCTATTCCTGTCACTCTCATACTCCGGTGGGACGACACGAGACACGACCAGTGAGAGTGTCGGCGCAGGACCGACGGCTTTACGTGCTCTCCGAGGCACGGGGGTGAAACACCGCCAACTTCCCAACTCCGGGCTGTTACTGAGGCTTACTATACAGAAAGACTCAATAACTAAACTTGGTCCGACCCGGGCCTCGAACCCAGGACCTCCGGGTGTGCAGCCGTACATGCTAGCCACTACAGCACCGAGGCAGTATTATACATATGGATATACAAAAACTCAAGATACACAATTAGCGTTTCAAAACTGTTTTCAAAAAAAAAGTGCACAAGTCAAATGAATTGCGCTTTTTTCAAATCTCTTTTGTTCATTGCTTGGATGACAAAATTAAAACGCTCGTTGTTTTGTTTAAAAAAAGTACTTTATGTGGTGTGCGTAAGATCGAATTTATGTTTAGACAATTAGAACTTTCGATGCTTGATTTTTAATCTTTGGTTTGAGTAAACGTCGCATGTCGACGCCAATTTTTATAATAGGATGAAATGTTGGTCGAAATCTAAAGGGTAGCAAGTATGTCTGGAGATCTGGAAGACCTAAGTTCGAGTCCTGACACAGACAAAATATTATAGTTATTGAGTTTTCCTAATGAGGGTTGCTTTAATTATAAAACTAATTTTATTTGAATTTAAAGTATTGTGATGAAAACAAACAAACCACAATAAAATCCGAAAAAAAAAATCTATATTACACTTTACAATTAAATTTGAGTTTGTGTTTGTTCATACTAATCTCGGAAAATACTGAAGGGAATTTCATAAGGCTTTCACAAATATATGGAGTGATCCATGAGGTAGGTTTAGGTGTATAAATCATTTAGGTTATTTGTTAATTGGCTGAAATATGACGATAATTGTTGAAGATGTCTGAAAAAATCATGCCGACAGGCAGCTGTACTGGCGTGCGCTACGTAAACCAATAAACCATACCAATACTATCATCATACCAAATTTCATTAAAATCCCTCCAGTGGGTTTTCCGTGATGCGGTCACAGACAAATAGACAGACAAAAATTCTAAAGACAGAAAAAATATTCATGCTGTGTTATATATAGGACAACTGATTTTAATTAAAGTTTAGACATTTAGTTTTTGCACGATTTAAGTGTATGTTCTGTTGGTTACCCTAAATAAATAAATAAATAAATATAACCCACCTGTTCCTGATACTCCTGTCGCGTGAGCCAGAAGTTGTCCCTGTTCTTGCACACCTCGGCGAGCACGGCGCCGCCGATGAACACCATGTCCTTACGCCGCGGAGGGTCCTCAATGCGGATCTTGAATTTCTTTATATCATACGAAAACAAATTCAAAATATAATTTCGAAACTGGGAGGCTTTTTGTGTTTGTCATGTATGTGGTAAATAAATATAAATAAAATATAAATTATTGTATTTTGCATTAAAAAACATATGTTCCACAAAATAATATTGTTATTAAAAAAGATGATGTATGTATTGTAGCATCCATTCAAGTTCTCGTATATCTTACTAACTCTGAGAGTCAGTCTTAGTGAATATGAGTGGGTGAGTGACTGAGTCAGTCTGATCTAGTGAATCCATATGAATGAGTTAATCTCAGTGAATGAGTTGGTCTGAGTTGATGAGTATCTGACCGAGTAAGTCTGTGTGAATGAGTCAGTCTGTGTGAATGAGTCAGTCTGAGTGAATGAGTCAGTCTGTATGAATAAGTCAGACTGTATGAATGAGTTACTCAGTACAGATGAGTATACTCACAGCGAGTTTGTCCGAGTCGTTGCGAAGCACCCTCTCCAGATAGAGCTGCTTGATCTCGCGCTCGAGGCGCGAGGGCAGGCCCGGGTACATGGTAGAGCCCCCTGACAGCACTATGTGCTTGTACAGCTCGTTGCGCATGTCTATGTCTGCCGCCTGGGTGATTAGATATTTTATCTTAGTGATTGTTATCTGAGCACTCTTTTCGATTTTCAATTCATTTCATAATTTTACTTCTAACTACATTCACAAAAGAGAATTTAATACGACATATAAAAAATATTATATATTAAAAAACTTATTTCTTAACTAATGGACAAATATAACAAAAAATACTTAAAAAAGAGACATTTAAACCAAACATTTTAACACAATATACAAACAACAAAACAAACACAACAAACACACCTGTATAGTATTGAAGACGAGCTCAGCAATCCCTTGACCTTCTACATTGATGAGATGTGGCTGGAACAATGCTTCGGGTGCTTCGAAACGTTCTCCACCCACTTTGATCACTCTTCCATCGGGAAGCTAAAATTAAGGGAAAATATCAAAGAAAAGGCAATCGCCAATTGATTTAAACGAAAATACAATTAAATATAATTTGTCCAGAATAACAGTTTTTAGGTTTTAACTAGTGTTGTAACATCAAAAAAAATACTTTGTTTTTTTTCACTATATTGAAAAAAAAACGTGCAAAAAAACTTAGTCACTACTATTGTTTTTTTTTCAAACATTGGTTTTTTTTTTCAAAGAAAAATCTATAGGATTTCAAATGTTCTATTGAGAAAGTATATTTTCTAATTTCTTACATTTTACTAAAATTACAAATCGAATTAAGCATATGAATCAATTAAATAAAAAATTATTCTTCCTGTGTCAATGTCATTGCCACTTTCAGTGTCACTGCAGCCTACACTAATCTTGTCAGTGTCAGAATTTTTACATGTAAGCTGGGTACTATCACTACTATGCAACAAAAAAGTATGATAGATTTAACAATAAACAGAATATCTCTAATGTGAACTCTTTAATATTAATCTTTTACGGAAACTACCTTAATACTGTTGAATTCTGTATTCTTGAAAAAAATAGATGCTTCAGAAAAAAGTGTTCTTTCATGTTCTTTTTCACGATAGAAAAAAAAACCTATTTTTTTTGCAACACTAGTTTCAACTCGTTTCAGTTATATTTATCAACCCTAAAGCCCTTTTCCGACTGCCATAAAAAATAAGTATGACAGCTAGTATTTTTGTTAGACGACTATACATACACACAAAAGTTTGTATGTATGTTTTTACTTCACGCTGTAACTGCTTTAACTTATTCAAAAAAATACAAACTTATAACTTATATGGAACTCATAAACGAATTTCCTCCTCTTATTGACCGACTTCAAAAAAAAACATTAGTAACTAAGGATTTTTTTTGAAGTGTGTAATGATTCATTACTCAAATTATCAGCATTTTTGAATATATTTTCCTAGATATCTTCGTCAATTGTGGATCGATTTTCATAATTATTTATCTAAATAATTAATAGTTTAACAGCAACCCTCGAGGGTTTTATATATATTAGGTATAAATAAATACTAAAATTAGCATAATTTTTAAGTAAGGGTACAAATAACTTCAAAGGGAGAAAAACATGAACAAAACTCCAATTCAAAGCAAAAACACCCTTATCCCGTACCACATAAGGCTCGACCAACACAGTGGTCTCCCAAGCGAGGCGCTGCTCCTGTTCCACGTTGTAGCCGATGTAGCAGAGCTTTTCCTTCATCATACGGACCGTCTCGAAATCCGCTGAATGATTGAATGCGTATCCCCGCAGTAGTAATAGCTGGGAATTTATAGAAGATTTCATATTTTATTTTATATGATGTTTTATTTTATATTTTAAAGGTAGGTATAGATAGGTTTCATACACACTTTCGTGCCCTATTTTACCCCCTTATGGGATGAATTTCGATAAATGCTAAAACACGTATTTGTTTAAAAGTATTATTTTCTTAGATTTACGCGAATATTTGACATCTACACTAATATTATAAAGAAGATAAATTTGTATTTTTGTATGTTTGTAACGAATAAAGTCAAAAACTACTGGACCGATTTAGATGAAATTTGATAAGAAGATAGTTTGAGACTCTAGGAAAGACATAGAATATTTTTTATTCCGGAAATCATCTCTTAAGGGGGTGAAAATGGGTATCAAAGTTTGTATGAGAAATAAAAACATTGCTAGATTTAAATAAAATTATCTTTACGGATTTATTTATTTTTTTGATTAAATATATCGATTCACTTAGGCGTCTTGAGGTAAGTTTTAGATAGATAAAAATAGTTATTGCAAGTGTACCTTAGGACCGAGACACATGCCATTGCGGACTTTACTGTAGGCCTTTTTAAGTGACCTCCAATTTCCAAGGTTTAACCAGCGCTAGCTATGTTTATTTGTAAGACAACTGCACAGAGCCACTTATTGTGTTTTCTCGTGGATGGAAATGAAACATTTAAGAAAATCTACAGAAGTAGTAAAAAGTATCACAAACGTTGACTCGAGTAATAAGTTATCACTACACAAATTTTGTTAAAATCGGTTCAGTACTTTTTACGTGAAATGTATACAAAACAATTCATGTACAGATTTCGCTTGTTCGCTGTTCAAAAAAAAATACTTGTCAAAGAGAATAATGATAGACATAGATTGATTCTTTTAATTGAAACTTGGAAATTTAGGAATATAAATAATTATATACCTTTATAAGATACCGTGTGATATCTCTACCGGCGATATCTAACCGCCGTGTCAGATGTGGTAAAGCAAACTCTTCATATACTGGGCATATGTGAGTTACACCATCGCCTGTATAAACAGTTAATAAAAAAATATATAAATATATATCAAAGTTATTAATCCTCTAATAAATACATTCGTTATATTTAAAATAACTTTATAATTATTTTTTTCAACAAAAATATTAAAATTGCCAAATTATATAATTCAAAAGCAACAAAAAATATATTCTTTTAATTTTAGAACAAAAAACGTTTTTTTTTATATTTCAATGTCACTTTTATGATTTCTTTTTATCTAATTTAACATTATACTACATTTTATAAAAAAAAACATTTTGATAATAATCCTAAAAATAGAAATAGAACATTTAGTTTCATAGTATGTTATAATTTTGACTACTAACCTGAATCCACGACCACTCCTGAGATAAGTCCTTGAGCATACAACGTTAGAACGGCCTGGATAGCTATGTACGCACTATCAAAACCATACTTCTCAAACATTACCTAAAAATAAAATAAAAAAATATACCCAAATGACAAAAAAGATCATAATAATAACTTAATATATACATATATACATATATACATATATATATATATATATATATATATATATATACATCAATAATTAATATTACATTTATAAATAGGCATATTTAAAAAAAATATTGTAATTCTCATACTTCAATCATCTTTTCTCTATTTTTGGTAGGGTTCATCGGTGGTTCTGTGAGAAGGATTTTGGTTTCTTTTGGATCAATATTCATTTTGCTCGGACCAAATGTATAATCCCACACATGACACATATCCTCCCAATTACGTACCACCTGAAATAAATAATAAATGTTGTAATTAAATGTTGCACAACACTCTCTTTATAACCAATTATCTCTGATATGTCACAAGTTAGAACGCCATATTGTTAATATTCTGTTTATTTAAGTTGTATTCTAAGTATATACACAAGATCTATTACGCGCCGCTACTTTTAAGAAAAAAGCGACGAGTGGCTAAAGCTAGCTTTCATAGGAACATCCTCCCTTTGCATGAAATATTTTTATAATAAAATGAAGATAACAAAATGATTAATTCAAAAAATGAATAAAGGAAATGGATTTTTTAAGCTTAAAAATTATTTAATAAGATAGAGAGATATTTACTTACTCCATTTTCCATAGGATAGCTGACTTCAAGCATAGACCTTAACTGTGAAGCTTCATCTCCTACCATTAAGTCCTGAAATGAATCTAATCATATACAAGTATCTATTTTTTACAACATACAGCTGCCTTTAACTTAAGAAAAAAATATAAAAAAAAACTTTATATTTCAGTCTTTGCTTGAATTGCTTTATATATTAGAAAATTATTGCATCAATGATATTTTTAGAAGTTATATAAAGTTTAATAAAAATATTTTTTTTTGAATACAACCACTCATTAAACAGGGTTTACAAATGCTGCAATGGACAACATAAGTTAATGATTTCTCCTAACCATATCAAATAAAATTGATAAATTTTAGAAAAAAAAACAAAAATAGCCTATTTTTAAATGAAACTATCTTTTCGGATTATTTCGCGGATTTATTTTGATTTTTGGTTCCCAACGTTTCGAATGCTTTACAGCATCCATGGTCATGGGAGAGACTGCCATGCCCAAAAATAGCCTACTTTTGAAACTACTAAAGGCACTTAAAAATGATTAGTATTTAGTAATAAGATACACAAAAGTTGCTGTAAAAAGGAACAAATAGAACTATACATATTACGTAGTTACATTAATTGTTAAATCTATTTAACTATAATATTTATACTGTATAGCCTAGGTCTATTTATTAATTTTAAAAAAATATCAAAAGAGTATTTAAGGCAATGGTTTGTACTTTGTACCTATAAGTCAATCCCACCTGCCTATAGTGTGGTTACTGACTAATGATATAAATAAAAAATGTATATATTTGAAGCACCTACTTTAGGAAATACCCATTTTTTATTATTTTCATAATAATAATTTTATTAATGTAATAATCAGATAAAATAAAACCGACTTCCAAAATGTCTTCAAAAATTTAAAACTTCGAAAATGTAAAAAATAACTAAACGGTGTTTTCATTTAGAATAGATACCTAATCAGATATTTTCGAAGTCCGTGCCAGCGGACAATATTTAAAGATATATGAATATCTAATAGGTAAATATGTATTTTACGTATATACATATATTAGATTTCCTATGCGTCGGCTGGCACCGGTTTTTTTTTTAAGTTTTTATTTTTATATTTTTAGTGTATACGTAATAAGCAGGTAATTTGTAGGAAGAAAGTTATTAATAATATATTCGATTAAACAATTAAAAAAAAATATTTATTGTTGATTTTTTTAAAAACTGCTCGACCGATTTCGATAAAATTTATATGGGACCACCTGGGAAGTATACCCTTTCAAACAAAACAAAAATTTTCTAAATCGGTTCAGGCTTCTTCGAGTAATCGGTGAACATACATAAAAAAAAAAAGATTCCGACCAATTGAGAATCTCCTCGTTTTTGGAAGTCGGTTAATAAAATTTATATGGGACCACCTGGGAAGTATACCCTTTCAAACAAAACAAAAAATTTCTAAATCGGTTCAGACGTCTTCCAGTAATCGGTGAACATACATAAAAAAAAAAGATTCCGACGAATTTAGAACTTCCTCGTTTTTGGAAATCGGTTTAAAAATTATGTATATTGTATATAAACAGTACAGTTGAAACTATACATAGCATGAAATGCATATTTAGTTTTTTTAGAGTTTCCTTCATTATATGAAAAGTATAGAAAACAAATTTTCAGACCTTTAAATGATTAATGAAAAAATATTATATTACTGTTTGACAAATTACAAAGTTTACAAAGTTTTATTAGCAAATTAATAGAATGAAGAATGAGAAACTAGAGAATACAGACAAATAAAATTGAAGTGTCTGCTGTTCGTAATGTCAAATTAACAGCTTTTTACTAAATGCATATTATGAAATTATATTACGATACTCATAAGAAAAACACAATTTTCAAAATTTTCTTCTTTTTGTTTCGGCTAATCTCCAAAACAGCTGAACTGATTTTGACAGAACCTTTACTGGCAGATAGCTGATGTTATAAGGAGTAACTAAGCTACTTTTATTTTAAAAAAAGTATTAGGGTCCCACTCAAAAAAATTAAAACGTACCTAGGGACGAGGCCGAACTAAGCTAGTGTAAATCATTATTATGATAATATAATGAGAACTTTTTAAACTACAATCTTTTGACAATAGTACAGTTAATACTTGTACTACCTAATACTTGTATGAAAATTACAAAAAAAAGGAAAGAATGTTACATAAATAAAATATTATACATACAATAATATCAGCTCTGAGCTCCTTAAAAGTATTTCAAAATGAATTGTAGTAAATGTTAATTTCCTTATTAAACAATGGCATACTGTTTTGCTATTGCAAGTACCTGCTAAGCCATATGGAGTATGAAGGTATAGTTAGTGAGGCAAACATAGTTACAATTCAAAACAATATGAAATATTTTGCTTTTAATATGGGTTAATAAAACTAAATATTTTATTCATCATTATCATGACATCTAACTTCATCCTTTTATTAATATGTACATGCTTTCCCTATAATCCTGGTTCCTGCATAAAAACTACTTCATATAAGAAAGATGCAAAAGCTAAAGATTATAGTTATATATTTATATATATTCAAATTGAAAGCAGATTGTGTTTATTTTTAAACAAGCAAACTTAAAAACTCACTTTGGTGTATTTGTAAGTGAAACTCCTAATTATACTTAATCTATATACTATGTGTTCTATTATATATTATAGATAGTGAAAACAAAAGTATATAGCAAGAGGCTTTAATATAATAAACATCTAAGAATGAGTGAAAATGTTTAACTAAGTGTAACTTTTTGCTACATTTTTTTGTTAAATGAACAATATTTGTTGGATATTTTTAAGCAAAATAAGTAAATTAAGTTAAAGCGAATATCTGTCTACTTCTTATTTTACCTGAACAATGTCTGGATCAAACATCTGGTTCGCATGAAATTTCAAACTTGGCTTAAAATATTTACTAGTTTATTATAAACAGAGCTAACATTTCTCAATTTATATAAACAGCTTTTTCCATATCTAATTTAACCTAACTTATGAAACTTATTGTTTTTTGGTTAATTTATTACAATTAATAGCATTCTTTCAGATTGCAAACAATATCCAGTAAACAACTCATACTTTTTCATATTTATGTTTTTATTGTAACAACAAAAAGAGATTAGTGTAACAACACAAAACAAGAGCAAACATATTTTATTTTTAAATTTGTTACATGCTTAGATTTACCTATAACTTACTTTAACACACATATCCTGAAAAATATTAAAATTTTATGAATTGGTGATACCAGTTGGTTCTTTTCTTAAATCAATACATACAAATAGTCTATATTAGGTCTTGAAGAGATTTATCAAACAAAAAAATTAACATACGTTCTAATTTTCCAAATAATAAGTCCCATAATTCATCTGTTTGTGTTAGTAAAGTAAAAGTTAATATAGGCTTACCTTAACATCAATATCTCCTATTTTATTTTCAGCCCTTATAATTGGCCTTCCTACCATCGAAGGAAAAATAAAGGCTGGAAAGTTACTGCCGGCATATCCGCATTTCACGAACTGTAATATTGATGATTTTTCAATGATGAATCAGTCTTATCTTTTATAAATGAATTAATTTTCCTGTTTATAATTGTCACAAAACTTACCCCAGTTCCGTTGTCGCAAACGATTACTTTTCTTCCTTGGTCATCCATTTTCTATATTTTAAAGTTACTTAAATTTACAATAATGTATTTTTTGTAAATTATTTACGAAAATGCTACAACCCGCAAGCAACTTTTTATAAAATGTCAGTTTTCTATATGACAAATCGCTAATTTATTTAAATTATTCTACAGTACACTTTAATACAATGTGTTAAATACTAATATTCAACGCTTGAGTAAGTAATAAGTATTAATATTCTTAAATACTTGCCAGATAACAAAAAATCCAAATCTCATTTTTGACAATATATATTGTGTTTTATATTTAATTTACTTTATATATAATTTAGACTTGTGATATTTAAACCATATTTAAAATTAATTAATTTAATTAATTTATGAACCCCTAACTTGGTATTATTACATACGTACTTACATGTAATTTCTAAACTTCCTACAGTCTTTTAATTTTCTAAACTTTTTATTTGTCAATTGTCATCCATCATTCATGATGGAAACGTCAAAGTCAACAATGTAAAGTTAAGTTCGTAATTCACGTGTCTTTATTATTGTAAAATATCACTTTTACTGCTTTTAATTTTTTATAAAGTTAAACAAAATGAAGCACAAAAGATTTGAAGAGAATATTTTAGTTGACGAGGCTTATACTAATTACGGTAAAATTGACAAAAATGCAGACGAAAAGAGAGGTTATGGCATCGCTAAACATTTTGCTGAAACTTTGGAATACGGAGAGAAAAAGAAGTGGTACCAGCAGGTAGATAAATCCATAAAATATTCTAGTATTCTAGTAGGTCAATATTAGATTATAAAGAAGAATAAAATATGCATTGAATCTAGTAGAACGGTGTTTAAAATTGTTATTTGATTTGCAATCAGAGCAAAAGAACGTTTAAAACCTTCTACACTTTATAAATTTAAAAGTAAATTTATCATACACAAAAATACCTAAAATCATCTAACATTTGGATAAGAATTTATAAATAATAGGTTGAGTCTATACTTTTAAGTAGCTTTTATTTGAGCATTAGATTTAAGAAATATAACACATATTTAAAGGTACACAAATAACATATTTTGTTTTTTTAGCTACCAGAAGAACCTTCAGCTAGTAATACAAATATCTTGGCTGAAAAAGTAGAAGAACTAAGAAAAGAAGCAAGCAGTGCATTACATGGAGATACATTAGCATATGAAACAAGCAAGTCATGTTTTTACCTTTTAGTCTATTCATAAAATTATAAAAAATGTACCAGTTTTTTATATTGTATTCTTTTTCAATTGACAGAATCAAGTAAAAGTGGTTCTTCAGACCAACAGTGGGCTCGCACACTGCTTACAAAAGGAACAATAGGAGATAGAGTAGCTGCTGCCACAGTTTTGATACAGGTAATAATGTTACGCTTGAGGTATTTATGAATTATTTGGCAATATACATATTTTTAGACATATTCTTACTTATTTGTACAAAGTAACTTGAGAAAGATTTAAATTCTTACATTTTTAGGATAACCCAATATACAATTTGACTGCATTAAGGAATTTAATCAACAGTGTCAAACCAGCAAAGAAAAAAGATGGTATTATTATCATAGGTAAGGAACTTTTATAATAATTATAATAATAGCCTACAAAAAAGTAAGTAATTATTACATAAGGCATAGATGACACTCATACCATATCTCTAATATATATTTATAGTTACGGTAAAAGGAAGGGTATTGATAAAGCCTCATTTCTGCCCCTCAATAATGTAAAAAATTATGCCATACTATTTGATCTTTTTACATAATCTGGAAGCAGACTGTGTGTCTTATTAGAAAATATATTTATGAGAGAAAAAAAACTACAATTAATCCTACTTGTGAGAAGTTAAACTTTGGTCTGACTGGGATTTTCATTCAAAATGAGACATTTCCAGTACCATTTCAACTTTTTTTATTTTAATTAATAAATAAACAATTCTTACAGATGCTCTATCTGAACTCTTAGTCTCAGAGTTATTAATCCCAGATACGAAATTACGTACATTTGAAAAACATTCATTGGATCATATTGATGAAATGTCGTCTGGTAATAAACAAACACGAAGAAATATACTAAAACTTTGGTTCTATGAAGATCAATTAAAGGAGTTATATGGGAGTGAGTATCATTTTAATGTTTTAAATCTATATTTAAATATAATTAGAATAAAACATCCTAACATCCAAAAAAATATATCCTATATAGAAAATACAATTGAAGAGTCTGTTTGTAATGTCAAAGTAACAGCCTTTTACTAAATGCATATAAAATGATACATGGTAGTCATAAGAAAAATACAACATTAATTTTTTTTTCTGTCTGTTTGTTCTGGCTAATCTCCAAAACGGCTGGACTGATTTTGACTGGACTTTCACTGGCAAATATCTGATGTTATAAGGAGTATCTTAGGTTACTTTTATTTTAGAAAAAGAATTAGGGTTCCACAAGAAAATATCTAAATGTACCTACGAACCTGAGCAAAGCGAAGGTAAGTCTCTAGTTATCAAATATAGACACTGAATAATTAGTATCTATAGCTTGAGTTTTAGATTCTTTTATTTATTGTTTTTTCCTTTTTTCAGCATATGTAGAGGCATTAAATAAATTTGCTCATGATTCAGTGGAGGCCAACAAAGAGAAAGCCGTCAGTGCTATGTCATATTTATTGATGCATCATCCTGAAAGGGAAAAGGTATTTATATTTATACTAGATATTTTATATTTATTCTCTATTGTTTTCCTTTTTCATAAGCTAATGTTTTATAATGTGTTAATAATAATTTTTATCTATATAATTAAAAAAAAAAACGTGTGCGTGTGTACTTACGTACGCACGTAAGAAGTTAAACTTCTTTGTCTTAACAGAACAAAAATAGCTAAAGATTTCAACCCGTACGTCACAACCCTCTGTTTGTAATAGGAATGCAGCTAACTTCATAATATCGCTTTCAGCTAACTTCATCATGTCGCTTTTTGGCTGTCGGTGTGCGCGCGCACCGTCAAAATTTTACTCTCGTATTTTTTTCCAAATGTGCAAAAAAAATACTTCACTATGAACTTAAAAAAAATTAACACTGTATGTTAATAAATAAGTTTTATCTGTTAACTTTGTGGCAATAAGTTTTCAAAAGTATCTTATTAAGTATTAAATAAATATATAAGGTTGAGAAAAATTGGCCAAACCTTTATTTATTTTTAATTTTGATAATATGTGCATTCAATTTTTTTCTTTGTCAATATCATCAGTTCACTTGTTATAATATATACTACTGGCGACTCACATTCGCTTTGCTTGGGTTCTTCCCCTTGGTACGTTAATGGTTAGTATGGAAAAGAAAAACTCTTTGAAAATCAAAATCAAATCTATCCCACGGGAACTGTATTTTTTCCGTGATAAAAAGTAATCTATGTGCTATTCCAGACTGTAACCTATCTCTGTACCTTTTAGCTAGATCTGTTCAGCTGTTCCGACGTGATTAACAAACATCCATCTACCCAAACTTTCATATATTATAATACTAGCGGCTCACCCTCGCTTCGCACGGGTTCGCCTCTAGGAAAACAAAAACAAACCAATCCCACGGGAACCGTACATTTTTCCGAGATAAAAAGTAACCTACTATGTGTTATTCCAGACATAATCTATCTCTGTGCCAAATTTATCCAGATCTGTTCAGAGGTTCTGGCGTGACAAAGACAAGAGTAACAAACATATCCATACATACTCACAAACTTTCACATAATATTAGTACCTATAGATATATAATATTAATGAAATATGATCAATATGACTTTATGTAATGCAAATTTCTTATTTTCCTACAAATCAACGTATGATAATCTTCAAAATGTTTGTATGGTGATTATTTTTGTTCTAGATGCTATTAACAAATATAATAAATAAACTCGGTGACCCAAGTCAGTCGGTGGCTTCCAAAGTAATATACCACCTATGTCAGCTACTCTACAATCATCCCAATATGAAAAGTGTTGTTTTGTCTGAGATTGAAAAGATGTTGTTTAGGTAAGATGATATTGATTTTAAAGATTAGCTCTGGTTGTAGTACCTTAGTATTTATATGGGATAAATGTTCACTTCATTATTTTAGTTTCACGTGTCATTTGTCTATTTCTTGCCAACTATTGTATACATTTTGTAGGTAGATACTGTCTGTAACAGCTATATTCTGACTTTTGAGATGTCTAAAACTTTAGTATGCCCCGTGACCATGTTTGCTGTAAATCAAACATCATAATTAAATCTATGTAAATCCACGACTAAATCCGAAAAGATTAATTAATTCAAGATTAGATTTCATTTAAAATGTCAAATATTCGCGTAAATCTAAGAAAGTATTGTGGAGGCTAATTTATAGAAACACCTACTACACAAGTAGAGCTGCGTGAAAGAATTATTCGATATATATTTTTAGAGATTTGTTGTAAAAAAAATCATTAATCATAAAACTTTTTCAGGTCTAATATCTCACCTCGAGCGCAGTACTATGGTATTTGCTTCTTAAACCAATTCTTTCTCGGCAAGGACGATAGTAAAATAGCCGAGAATTTGATACGTATTTACTTCTCCTTCTTCAAGGCTTCTATTAAAAAGGTGAGTTTAATATATGTATTTGTATATGTTATATATGTATATATAGTATATAATCTATCTATTTCATACTAACCGTTGAAACGTACCTAGGAACGCAGTCGAGTGCAGCGAGGGTGAGTCGCTAGTAAATATAATAATAAAAAACCTCTTAACTGAATTGGACTAAGATGGCCAATCAAAACAAAGGCATAATAGTAAAACGCGTGAAAATGTAACATACAGACAGTGTTACTTTCTCATTTATAATATTAATACGAATTATATTTCTAGGGAGAAATCGATTCAAGACTAATGTCTGCCATATTAACTGGAGTCAAACGAGCCTACCCTTTCGCAAACAAAGAGAGATTAACAGATGCAGCATCCCACATCGACGCCATACATAGACTAGTGCATTTGGCCAGTTTGAATGTGTCGATACATGCTTTGGCCCTTTTGTATCATGTCAGCGATTCATCTAAGGGGACTTCTGATAGGTGATTGATTTGGGTTTTTTTCTTATTTATCTCTCTTTTTGTTTTTCTTTCTCTCTTTCTTTATGGGATTTATAGCGAAAAATATAGACATATTACTTTGTTTACTCGCTTTGCTTAGGGATTTCAGATGGGATAAATATTTATAATATGGTAAATACAAACATTTTTCGTGATTAGAGTATGAGTTACTAATAATGGTCAAAAAATAAATGGAAATTATTTAAAAAATACAATGTTGTATTATATTTATCAAACTATAATTAACTTAATTTAATGGGAAAACATTGTTTCGACCATATGTAATTATATTCAGTGCATTGTCTTATAGCTATCTTTAATTTCATTCTCAGCAAGCGCCTCCAATATTGAAATACTGCATTATCAAAAAAATATTCTAAAAGTTATATGTAATGCAGCATAGTTTGGAAAAATCCGGAATAGCACATAGGTTACTTTTATCCCGGAAAAATTTACAGTTCCCATGGGATAGACTTCTTTTTGTCTAAGGTGAACCCTAAGTGAAGTGAGGGTGAATCGTTAATATAATATAAAATATCTGCATTTGCCATGAGGCTGGATGCATATGGAAAAATGTAAAAAGTAACTTTAATTTCATTACGTTGTTTTTCTTCTTACAGATATTACACCGCTCTCTACCGAAAGTTAACAAACGCGGATATATTTAACACAACCCATTCAGCTCTACTATACTCCCTCATATATAAATCGTTGAAAAATGACAAAAATATTGAACGAGTGACGTCATTTATAAAGAGATTGTTACAAATGAGTTGTTATACAGCCCCCGCTCAGGCGTGTGCCGTTCTCTTCCTTATATCTCAAGTATTAAAAAGTGGGGATAAGAAGGATTGTATCAGGCTAATTTGGACGAAACATGAAATTAAAGAGGTAAGATTTTAAATAAAACTATCTTTTCGGTTTTTTTCGCGGATTTATTTTCATTTTTGGTTCGTTGGACGTTTTGAATGCTTTACAGCAACCATGGTCACGGGAGAGACTATGTCAATAAATCTAGACTGAGTTGGTAGCTCTTGTATTTGACAGTATTTCCATTAAGTTAAATGAACGATCGCCTACTGTATGGATTTTTATAATGAAACGCGTGTTTAAGATTCTATGAAAACTAAACCTTATTACTAAACTTATTATTTTAACATGATTTATACTATGTTATTAAAAATAGTTGTACATGTATTTGTAATCTATATTGTAAATATTCTTTAGTGTGTTTTTGTTATTGTGTGAATGTTTTATGTTTTATTTATTTATAGGAAATAAAAGAAGAATCAGAAGGAAACATAGAATATGATCAAGAAAATGCAGAAAATACTGTAACAGATATCAATGACACGATAGAGAGTATAGAAGAGAATGAGAACGAAAAAGAGCAAACGGAAGAAGAAAAAGTCGAACAAAAGAAGATCGATCTCTTAAAAGGAGATAAAAAAGATCTATTAATAGGTGCGTTTCTAGTCAGTACAGTTTTTGCTAGCAACTCGCATTATTGAAAACATATATAAATAGTGTTTCCCCGCGGCTTTTCTCGCATAGTTTATTTACATATAATTGTTACACTTCTAAATGTCACGTCATCTCCTATTTTGCAAAAAATATTTAAGGGATGATTTCCAGAATAAAAACTATCCTATGCCCTTCCCAGGGTCTCAAACTATCTCCATATTAATTACTTTCGCATTTATAATATTAGTATGCATTTGGTTTCAGATGACGATGAAGAAGAAACCTATATAGATCTAAAGATAGATGACCATGGCAACATAAAGCCTAAGAAGCGTCAGAAAGCCCCCGTACAGTGTGGATGGTACCACGCCAAAGTGAAGGCAGAAGATAAGAAAGATGAAGAAGATAAAGTTGCAGCTGCCAAGATACAGCTCAAGAAGACTATCAATATGGATAAGGTATATGTTCTTATTTTTAATAATCTTTAATATAAGTTTGATTTTTGTGTGTATTTGTTTGGAATGTCTTCATAATTAGTGAACCGATTTTCATGTTTTTTTTGAATTGAATGTCTCATGGACAGTCTGACTTTAGTTACAAAGTATGTGTATGGGTAGAATAATTACTTTTTAATTGATTTTGAAGATTCTTTAGAAAATAAAACTAAGCATAGTCTATGAGTTTATTTTTTATTTATAAAATCTTATAAGCGTGTTAAGTTTTATTTAATATACATACATATTAAAAGTTAAAACATTACGTACGTACGTTACGTAAATGGATATACTAAATATAACGTCTTGATGTACATACAAATTAAAAAAAAAGAGAAAAAAAAATGTTTTTTGTTTGTTTGCCTGTATCGAATAAGCTCCGAAACTACTAAACCGATTTAGATGAAATTTGGTAAGAAGATAGTTTGAGACCTTGGAAAGGATATAGGATAATTTTTGTCCCGAAAATTATCCCTTAAAGAGGTGAAAATGAGGGTGAAAGTTTGTATGGGGAAGCAACCTAAGGACGAACCCGAGCGAAACGAGGGTCAGTCGCTAGTATTTTATAATTCACCTGTCGAATCTATCTTTAAAAGGAAAATAAAACCCTCTAACATATGTTTCAGGTTATAACTGAATACAATCCATTTGCAAGGAATCCATCGTTCGCTGGTGCAAATTGCTCTGCGTATCTAGAGCTACTGCCTTTGGCCAGACATTTCCATCCGTCTGTCAAGTTGTTTGCAGGGAAATTAATTAATGGTGAGAATTTTAAAAATATATTTTATACTAGCGACTCTTCCTCGTTTCGCTCGGGTTCGTCCCTAGGTACGTTTTAACAGTTAGTATAAAATTGATTCCCGATACAAACTTCCACCTCCTTGTTCACCCCATTAAGGAATGATTTCCGGGATAAAAACCATCCTATGTCTTTATACCATATTTCATCTAAATGGTAACAGGTAACAGACTGAGAGACAGATAGAGTTACTTTTGAATTTATAATTCTACCGACTCACCCTTCGTCCCTAGACAAAAAGAGAACTATCCCACGGGAACTGTACATTTTTCTGGATTTAAAGTAACCTATGTGCTATTTCAGACTATTATCCATCCTCGCAAACTTTCACATATATTTATAATTTTAATATGGATTTTATTTATAAACATTTTGTGAAAAAAATTGAATTGTTTATTCTTTTCTCCTCAGATCAAATAATTCAATACAGCGGAGATCCCCTCAAAGATTTCGCAGGAATAAGATTTTTAGATCGATTCGTATTCAAAAATCCTAAGAAAAGAACTGAAAATGACTTAGAAGGAGAAGTGAAGAAAGTCAAGGGTTCACATCCCAAGTTTGCTGTCAGAAAGAATTATACTGCTAAAGGTTTTTTTTTTTTTCAATGAAATTATATTGGTTTTGCATAGTATTAATAATTTTTGTGCTCTAATTTCTTGTTTAATTTTCTTTTCAGGTATTAAAAGCCTTCCAGTGAACTCTTCATCGTATCTCAACGAAGATTCTAAGAAGATACCAGTCGATGAGAAATTCTTATATGAGTAAGAATAATTAATTTATCTATTTATATATAGATATACCGAACTAAAGATTTTGGCACGTTTATGGCGTCATTCCAAAGTACGATAGAAGATGGACTTATCTACACATATGTAATAAAATTGTAACTGATCGCTGTCTGTACATTGAAGATATTTGACAAAAACTATTATTTATATATCTTTAATAACGCAATAGAACCCAAAACAATGATTTTTATAATTTTTGTCTGTTCGTCTGTGCGTTTGAGCGCGGTAATCTCAGAAACGGCTTAACCGATTTGGGTGCGGTTTTCACTAATGTATTGTGGTAAGCTTCAATTTAAATTTAGTTTTTGTTTTTATTTCAATCGGTTCATAAATAAAAACGTTTTGTCGTTCGTTCGTTATGTCAATTTAAAAAATCGCCTAGGGACGAACCCCTACGAACGAAATAAAAAAACCTTTTGGCTATAATCTTCTTATTTTATTATTTATTTGACTATTATATAATTTCTTTTTTTATATATAATTTATTATATAATATGTATATGTGTATATATATATATACGTATCCTATGTCCTTCTCCTGGCTCTAAACTACCTCCCTGCCAATTTTCAGCTAAATCGGTTCAGCCGTTCTTGAGTTATAAGCGAAGTAACTAACACGACTTTCTTTTATATATATAGATATATATATTATCCATCTTCTGACTCCATCATTAAACCTTTATATTTTTATTTAGATAAAATACTTATTGTTACATACCTTCAAATCGATATGGCATCTAAGGACGGTTTCCAATAACCTATCTATCTTACTGATATTATAAATGTGACATTTTATATGTTTGGATGTTTGTACGGATCTGGATGAAATTTTGCACAGAGATAGATTATAGTCTGGAATACGATAGGCTACTTATTATCCCGGAAAAGTATATAGCGATTATTTCCAACAGTTTCCTGCAGAAACGTCGTGAAGTGAAGGACTCGGATGACGAGGATAGTGATGCGGACTCGGTCACAAGTGAAGACTTTGAACAGTATTTAGATACTGTTACTGGGTCTAGAGCACAAGGTATATTATCTTATAATATTAAATAATTTCTGCAATAATTTCTTGTCTAATATATAAAATTCTCGTGCCACAGTGTTTGTAACAAAACTCCTCCGAAACGGTTAGATCAATTCTTATGAAATTTTTTGTGTATATTCAGTAGGTCTGAGAATAAGAGGTAAACTATTTTTCATACTCCTAAGTGATAAGAGTGGTCCACCCCATTTTTTTTGTCATTTTTTTAATTTTAATATTTTTATGATTCGGCATTAAAAAATACATACAAGCCTAAATTTTCACTTTTGCTAGTATATTAAACAATAGTTTAGATTTCTAAGAGATGAGATATTTTCCTGCTATAAAAAGTATCTTATATGTGGTCCCTCCAGTGGTTTTTCCGTGATGCGGTCACAGACAGACAGATAGATAAAAATTCTAAAAACTATAGATTCCGCCTCTATATCAATAATAATGTCTATTTTCATAAGATTTTCTCTCAATTTAAATTAGGTTGTGTCGACACAAAAGATATGGTAGCCTCTGTTGCCGTACTAAGAGACCTGTATTACGGCATACAGCGCCTTTCCCTCAATTATCTGCATAGATTATATATATATAAATTTCGTGTATCTCGAAACCTGGTATCTTAATATTATAAATGTGAAAGTATGTTTTTTTGTTTTTATGTCCTTCTTTCACGTCGAAACAAAGTGACGGATTAGCGTGGTTTTTTGTGGGGATATAGTTGGAGGGCTGGAGAGTGACATAGGCTACTTTTTACCGCGGGAGATATATATAATAAATATCTATTCCACACTAACCATTAAAACGTACCTAGGGACGAACCCGAGCGAAGCGAGTGTGATTTGCTAGTAATTATATATATTATATAATTGTTATAACTATTTCTCATCTTATTAATTTTTTTGAATCAATTGTCACTGTATAGAAATGATAAAAACAGATAATATGGCGGGTGTGTGTTAGGATTTGTACAAATAATTATTTTTATTACAGAATCCGATGAAGAGTTGGATTTCTTAGCTGAAATGAAAACGTCGAAACAGAAACGTCCCAAGAAGGGTGAAGAGATGAGTGATAATGAGCTCGATGGTGATGAAGATGACGAGAATGGTGATGAACAAATAGATGAAGGTATACATCTATTTTAAGTATTATTATTCGGTTAGATTTTTACCTTTGAGCTGGTAATTTTATAATAAAAATGGCTTTAATGCATTTCTGCTGGGAAGAGCCGGCGAGAAACAAAATCATTTTAATGTTGAATCTTTGTATAATATGATATTAACATAAATACATCTACGTATTTATGTTCATATTACGTATTTATGTTTTTATCAAGTATGAATTTTATAGTTATAAAAAAATATATTACATTATAATATTTCTATCAATACTACTTATTATTTCATTGTGTTCAACTTATTTAAAATCATATGTTTTTCAGAGATATGACATTATAAATACCTTAAGTTATGATAATTTGATGGGTAAAATATCTTTAAAATGTTAATTTCAATGATAGTTTGATAGATATTTAATTTTTTATATTAAATAGAGATTTTTCAACATAAAAATAGTAAAATAAAATGTTGTACTATAAAGAAATAACTTTTTAGGTGGAAGTGATGGAGATTTGGACATTTCTGGTGATGAAGATGAACCTGTTTTGTCTGGTGATGAAGATGGTAAGAATATTAAGGCTATTTCATTATAAGCGAGTTGGACTCGCATACATAATGTTCCGTAACATAAACTTTTTTTTTTATTTGCATGGCAGTCTTTTTGAAATTTGCCATGTTGGTTTCTATATTACTTTTTGTGAACATTTCAACTCTCTACTTATTACGGTTCATGAGATACAACCATCTTACATACGGACGGACGGACAGGAGCGGCTTAGTAATAGAGTTCCGTTGGCAACATTCGGGTACGGAACTCTAAAAATAACTACATATAATACACGCACCTATTATTTCAATGGATAAAAATAGTTATTGTGAATGTACTTTAAGAGATACACACATACTATCGCGGAGTTTTTAGTGAAATCGTAAATTCGAATTTTGTGTCATTTAAGGGTTAAGGGTTTACGATTTTCACGCTGGAACCCTAAAATATTCCAGATTTCTTTATATCCTATATGTAGCCCTACAAAGTCTTCTATCGTTTAGTAAAAGTCCTATTACAGTCGATTTAGTCGTTCAAAAGATTACTCCGTACAAACAAAGACAAACACAAAAAAACTAGGTAATAGTATCATATAAATAACTCAATGTAATGAGAAAACATACTTATTTTGAAAACATAGACAGACACTTCAATTTAATAATAATTTAATTAATTTTAATAAATTTACTTAAAATAAAAAATATAGATGTGAAACTTTGTAAGGATGGGTTCATCCATCCAGGATAGATGTTTCTTACTCTTTTACGCCAGAACGGCTGAACGGATCTTAATGAAATTTAGCACAGAGATACATTATAATCTGGAATAACACATGGTTACGTTTTATTCAGAAAAAATGAATCGGTTCCCCTGGGATAGATTTGTTTATATCTAGGGACGAACACGAAGCGAAGCGATGGTGAGTCGCTAGTAATAGATAAAAAAACCAATGCTATCATTAAAATACTGCCTTAAATATAGATTTAATTTTTTTAAAGTTAATAAATTTACTTACTAATTTAATAAATATGTGTAAAACATTTTTTGTATTGTTGTAGAATTATTGTTAGAAGATGACGACGACGATGATGACCACATAGATGTTCCCGACAAGAAATCAGCTAAGGGCAAGAACAAATTTAAAATTAAAGGTAATATACATTTTAAAAACTTAGAGATGTCTGAAATTAGTCCAGTCAGACAAACAAAAAAAACAAACTCTTCAACTTTATGTTTCTTTAACGTGTACTAAAGTTAATTCTAATAAGCCTTACTCGTTTAGGAAATGAAGATCTCGGGTCACTTTTCGCATCGGCTGAAGAATTCTCAACACTCTTAGAAGAGACGGCCACAAATAAAAAACAAGGCTCTAGTCAAGCTGTTTCAAACACAGACAACTCCAGTACAAAACAACTAGCTTGGGAAGAGAATAGGGATAAATGGATTAAAGGTTACAACAGAAAAATATTAGGCCACAAAGGAAAAAACAAAAAATTTAACAAAAATAAGAAAAATGCCAATACTAACAACATGGCTGACAAAAAAGGCGGGAAACGAAAAGGCGGTAATGTATCCGGCGCCGGCGGAAAGAAGAAGAAATTTAAATAATTGTATTGTATGCAAATAAATGTTACAATAAATAATAATTGATGTTTAATTTACCTTGTATTTCGATTTTTTTATTAATATCTCAAATTAATTCCTTGAAACTTTGCATTATAATTATCGACACACGTGCAAGCGTAACAATCATTTTAGTTGATAAATAGATTTTATATTCATTTACATATTGTTTCCATCCAAGTTCAATCCATTTACATTTATTACATAATATTGTTTGTAATATATATGTATTTTTGACTTATGGAAAAGTAACACATTAATTAATCAAACAATATCTTATTACTCATGTTGTGTTAATATTTTAATGGCAATTTAATGATACTTTAATGATGTTGACATTATATAGCCTAAATACAAAAAAAAACAAATCTTTAACCTACAAAAATCTTTACCGGGCTCTATCAATTTGACCTTGACATATAGTTATACAGGTGGCGCTGCCCACTAGATTTACTGCTTTATATTCCATTTAACTAAAATATACCTAAACTTTAAGGCCCTAGAGTGCCTTTTTGATTGAAGCTCATTTCATTTGACAGCTACCAACGCGTACACAGGACCCAACAGGTGGTGTTAGAATACGTCAAAAACCATACAAGGCATTCTCGACTTTTACTTACTTAAAGTTTGAAAATAAAGCTCTAAAGTAATATAAACATAATCAAATTTTATCTCCTAATTAATATTTATTTGATAAAGACCTTGTATAATGCTCAGTTCGGTGTATTTACGGAGATATTTCAATATTTCCAAGTGTAGATATAGCACCCGAAGTACAAACTCGTTTACGGTCGGGCGTTTGTTTGTTGACATTAGTACGTCATGCAGTTGTCTCGCGGACCGCGTTAGAGCGCCGCATCTCGTATTTAAAACGTTAAATAACTACATTTATACATAAAATAAACACATCATGTTTACAGTGAGAGTAATCTTGTGAACTGTTGATTCTATAGAACATATCAGCATTTTACAGTGTGTTTGTGAATGAACAAAAAGAGCGGGCAAAAATCTGTGCAAGTGACGATTCTAAAGCTATTTATAGCCGGACCTATGGCGCGATAATGCTACTGTCATATAAACTAATGTGGTTTAATAATAAAAAAGCATTCCAATTAGAATTATTATTGGATTCATTATTGTTGTTTATTGGACTTTTTTCTTTTTTTCTTCGTTGCATAGAAATCTAAGGCGCCGAAACGAGTTTGACAGTTCACAGATACACACAAGTTTAAGTTTGTTGTGCGCATGTGTGCGTGAAAGGAACAGTGATGTGAAATTCTTGCGCTTATCGATTAGCTAGATAATTTCAAGGACACTCGTCGATACGCCCCATGAAATATTGTATGATACACTTAAATAATGCACTCATAATGACAATTGATTTTTAATTAACTTGTAAATATATTACTGAATTTGCTTAAGTACTGTCCAAGTAAAAGCAATAAAGTTCATTAGCAATAATTTATAATACTCATATTTTTTGTTATTATAATGGAGTCTCCACAAATAAATAGAAACGATTCGGAAGAAGGATGCAGCGCGTCTACTTCGAGTAGTAACCAACTATTCATACCTGAGAACTTAGATCTACCAGACGATACATTCCGCATGAGCTTAGACTATATTTCAATCGGAGAAAACGTCACAATCGGCGACAGAGATTCGTCTGTTGATACAAACAATTTGATTATTGATACTGCAACCCCATGTAATACTCCTTTAAATTTAGATGACTCACTCACTCCTTCAAAGGAAAAGTCGATGCTAATTCTCGATACACCAAAACGAGAAGATACAAAGACATTAAACAAGCATAATTTACTCAAACTGTCATTAACTAAAAATTTTGATGATAGTTTTGTAAAACCTTCGCCCATGGCGGAAGTTATGTCGCCGGCTAAGATGTTGCAATTTGAAGTGGATATCGCTAACAGCGCAACCCCTACTATGAAGAGGGCTATTATAGATTTTAATTTTTTCAATGACAATAACTTTGAAGAATATTTTAAAGATGTACCAAAAGCTAAATTGGAGGATAATGAAAAAGATGCTAAAGACGCTACAGCGTTTCGAGAAATCCCTGTGATTGTAAAGACCGACACGGTCCGGCATGAAATTGGCTATGGTAAGTTTTTTTTTTACTTAATTTATAGGTCCTTAATAATAATTTAAAATATTCGAAGATTTAAAATTAATGTCAAATGTAAATGTTTTATTTTCATCGATGTCTTAATGAGAATCAAAACCCCACATAACATAAGTGTTGCCAACCTTTATATCTATAATAATTAATAAATAGAAAAATAAATCTTAAGATTTAAATAACTTCTTTTAATAATATGTAGGCATCATTTTAATATAATTGTAATTTAAAACACCTCAATGTTAACATTTACTAGGTACATATATATATATATATATATATATATATATATATTATTGAAAAAATGTTACATATAAACTAGTTAGGAATTAGTTAGAAAGTTAAAAAGAAGGTCGATTTAAATCCTATCGTATAATTTAAATCGTAATAAATTTTATACCAGTATAAAAGCAAACAAAAATACAAAATATTTAATATTTATTATGAATACTAATTGTTGGGCTTTATATTATAGCGTACGCCTTATCTAACAGATAACCATTGTTTATTCAAACTTGTTACCAACCGTTTATATTTACTCTTTCATGCCGATTTGCCAAGCGATGAACAATATGAAACGTTTGTTTAATGGTCAAGAAGAAGTGTTTTTTATACCCGTAGGTGCATGGAGATAATTATAAAGTCAAAAAGTTTGACCCACATAGATTTGAAGATTGGTCCTATCTATCTATATTGTTTACGTAACAAATAAATGGGCAGATTTTTTTAATTTTATTAAAAACAACATGATTGGGACACGCTTAGGAAACTGAGTGAAGCGAGTTCAAATCCCGGGTCTCGCACCTCTGATATTTTTATGTGCGAATCATTTCCAACATGATTACCACTTGTCTTACGGTGAAGGGAAACATCGTGGGAAACCTGCATGTGTGAGAGAACCTAGCAAGTTTTCAAAGGACATATGAAGTCTGCCCGTGCTTGGCCAGCGTGGTGGACTATGGCCTGATGATCTGATCTCTCTTGTATTGAAGGGAGGCCTGTGCCTAGCAGTGGGACGTTAAAAAGGGCTGAATATAATTTATTCATCTATCTGTTTGGGAACGCACCACGGGAAAACTATAGGATGGGTTTTGCTCACTAGATGTCGCCATGTGTTTTCAAAATACATAAGTTTAAATCGAGAAAAATGGCTATGTACAGATTTGACCTTTCTATGATTTGATTAAAATTATCCGCGGCCCCGCCCGTGTTTTGCAAATGAATATAATCGTAATTTTTTGCTATTATTTAGTAAATTAATTTTTTTGCTATTAATTACTATAAAACCCGGACAAGTGCCAGTCTAACTCGCACATCAACGGTTCCGTTAATCGAATACTGTTTTGTTTTTATTACGAATTACGAATAATTACATTGTCACAACATCGATATTTTATCGATAAAAAAAATATTCTATTTTTTTTTACTTAATATCGAAAACAAAGTTTGCGGTTGTTAAACTAAAGCTAGTGGTTGACAATATTCCACATCTCAAAAACTACATAACATATATTCTGTAAAGCAAGTATTTTGGAAGCTCCTTTACCTCAATTTTTTAGATTTTTTGACACCGTTTCTTAAAACGTACATTTATTTTTTAAGGACTACAATGTGTATGGCTATAGAGTTATATAGCTAACTGCTAGGCTAATATTAGTATAGAAAGAACTACAGACATACTAAAAATGTTGTTTTTAAACCGATAATTGCAATATTACTAAATTATATATCAAATTAAAAGAGGAACATTTGTGGCATTGCCACTCACCGCAATTTTCATTTAATCTTGCGGTGCGCAATGAATCTACTATATGTAAGTAAGTAAAACGCAAAAAGTTTGGTTTTTTATATTTAGCTATGTATTAGTAAAATACTTAATTATTAAAATTAGTTGAGAAGTTTGAGAGTTTATCACCTACACAAATAAATCTTTCCATTTATAATATTAGTGTAAATGTTTAGACATACTATAAATGTAGTTGTTAAAACGGAAAATGCAATATTACCAAATTAAAGGAGAAACATTTGTAGCATTGCCGATCACGGACATTTTTTTCTCCATCTTACGGAGCGCAATGAAACTCGTAGACTAATATATAAAACCATCGATCAAAAAACTACTATATATACAATCCCATGCGAAAGTTATCATAAAACTGTGACCGATTATTTTAGTTGAAATAAATATACAACAATATAAATTGAACCTTGAATGCAATGCATAAAGTTGTTTTCACAAAACAATTTTTGAGTTAAAAGCGCGCTTAAAGGTTCAAATAAGCACTCATTCGGTGAGGACATTTTTTGTCGCTGATTGTATATGTTTTTGATCGAGTAAACACAGGCAGAGCCGCAGGCAATGCTAGTTGAGTCATAAATTCTACTGGTAAACCATACCCTTGACCAACAAACATAGCCCCTGTTTTGTATCTAAATACGAGGAATAGAGCCTTTACATGTGTACTACTAATAAAAACTTAGTGCTATTTAGTTATTGTATATTAATATTTTACGATTTAATAAAATTCAATAGAAATAAATGCTATTGAATGCTAAAAGTAATAAACTTTTCCCAAGGTTTTTTAAAGAAAATAATTTTATAAGCAAGAGATTGCAACAATGTTTTTTTGATAACATAATTATTTAAAAAAAAAACTAGATCCTCTGTAAACACTTAATAGATATGACCTTAGTCTTCATTTAAAAAGTTAATACATATTAACACCTTCAGTCAATATCTATTATCTAGCCTTGTGTTATTGTACTATACAATTATGTACAAATATAAGTTTCATAAGAAATTAAGTATGGAAAAGGAAGAATTATCATATAATGTCGACGTCGTCGTGGAAACCTACTTCGAGAGGACCTTGACCAGAATAACTAGACCTACATCGGGGGCCGCGGCCCGTACCGTGGATCTGCTACACCTATAATATTAATAATCAATTATTTATTTATCTTCTAACATAAAACCTGTATTTATGAACCTAATTTTTATCTAATAGTGTTTACAATGGCTTCACACTGTTTCTTTTGTACGGACAAAAATATTGTGTTGACTTTATAAATATATTAGGTAAGTATTTTTTTAAATAATATTTGTTATGATAAAGATTCTTTTATAGTTATATTATAATTGATATGAAATTTAAACATAACACATTTATCTGTATGATGTATCCATATCTATAAATAAAATGTGGTTTCCATATACATAGTATCCTATCTGGGATTGATATAGTTATTGCACGATAACAAAGCTCCAACAACACATTTTTGTACGAGATTCATCAAAACGAATCAAATGAACCCAAACTTCAAGTCTTCATACAGTAGGTAAAATAGAAGCCATTCAAGAGTTTCATTATCTATCTTATGGTTATAGAGCTATGATAGCATGAAGTTATGAAATTGTTGTATTTTTTTCAAATCGTTAATTAAAAATATTGTTACGTTCTATGACTTTTGGATTGGAAATTAAAGTAAGTCTTTTGCATTATAGATGTTCTATTGCTTTTGGCCGTTCACAAAAGTCAAGCGGTCCACAATCACATGCAAAACATGTCACAGTCTTGGCATAACTGTGCAAATGAAATTCTAAAATTAATTGATATCCTATATAAAACTATTAACAGACAACAGGATTATGACAATCCATCACAAGTATCAATTTTTAATCTAAAAGTACCTAGGTGTCCACGAAAGCCGTTCAACATTCTCGTAGCGCCTTCTCGCAGATCTGTTTTAGGTAACTTACCCTTGTCACGTTACGTTTTATAATATTATTAATAATCATAGCACCTTGGATCCATTCGGAGACTTGCTGTCTAGGTTCCAAAAATATGCAAAAAACTACCTTTAATTTATTCTGTAGTTCTTCCTGTTTTTTTTAATTCAAATTGTAATCTTTTTCAATTTTTGTGTATTATTCTAATTGTGTTAGTGTATTTTGTTATTTATATAATTTAATATTTTATAATAGTAATTTATTATTGTAACATAGATATAATGTAAACATTTTATAAAATCTCCAAATCTGCATGTGTATTCACCTGAAAAGGTAGTGCAATTAGTTATAAGAACATGAAAAAATTGTACTCGTCTATACTATAATAAAACTGTAGAGGTCGAATGTCTGTACATAGCAAAAAATGCTAAAAACCGAGTCAGGGGGGTGTAAGAAGACAAATAGAACAAATCCAGTTTTTTTTTTCAAATTTTTTGTTACTCTTGTCTGTTTGTACGGGCTAATCTCCGAATCTATTGGACCGATTTAAATGAAATTTTACATGGTCGTACCTTATATCCCCGGGCACCATCTTAGATACTTTTTATCCCGAAAAAATAAATAGTTCTCGTGGGATAGTTAAAAAACTATAATAACTTATACAACTTATGCACCTAATTTAGTAAAATTTAACATTCTGATACCTTATATTGCCGATCAAACAACGGGTTACTTTTCATCCGGGAAAAATGAACGGTTCCCGTGAGAACTAATAGATCTCTATTAGTGTTTTTCTAGAGGCGAACCCGAGCGAAGCGAGGGTGAGCCGCTAGTATATAATAAATTCTATTATTGTCACTAACCACTGGTGAATCTAATAAATAAATAAATTACATAGTTCATTAAATCATATAACTGAAGCTAATAAAAGCGTGCTATAAATATCCGTCTGTTTGTACTCGCTATCTTAAAGAGAGCTAAAATAATTTCAACAGGATTTTCCCTTCCAAGTTGAGGGTTTGAATGAGACTTGACAGCAGTCAGCAACTAGTATTTTTTTTGTTATTACATGCAAGCGAGGCCGTAAGCTAAAATTACAAATAAGTTAACAATTCCGTATGGTTTACATGATAAACAATACGGTTTTCAATTATATACAAGTATTGTTACAACAAATTGTGAAACGCTATTTGTTTAACAGCACCTCCTAATGAGTCAAAGCCGTGACCTTCGATTTATAAAATTAATTAGCTGACCTACGTTTGTAAAGAAGGTTCGAATTTGTTTAAAAATTAAAATAGTTAAATTTCAAGGGTCGATATTTCAATTAGGCAACGAATAACGACTATACTCATTACTCGTACAGCTAGTATACAAATATACACAATGGCATCAACTTTAATCGATACGTGCACTTTCTAGAACAAACGATTACAATTCATCGTATGTATCGAATATCGCTAGAACGTGATTATTTCTTCACAACCAAGGCCTCGCTTACTTCCGTATCTTCAATCATGAAAAAAATAAGATTGAATTAATCTTCTTTAAGCTATTATTATAATTACTTTATTTTTTAAATGAAAAAGTATGTATACTTCAAAATAACTAAAAAAATATTATATAAAGGGACTCCCTTGAGGTATAAGTTCACACCTGTTCAAGTATCACATGAAGACAAAACTGTTCCTTTAGTGAAGACGGTTACTATATAAATTAGTTATTTGCGTAGAGTTTTCGTTTTTTTAATTATTTGAATTAATTTCCATTTAGTAGTACATTTTTAGTATTACATTACGTGCAGATGGTATGGACAGTATATTAAACCTTCTTTGTCTAGACCTTATTCCTCTTGTGTGGGGTCGGTACATTATGCACGTGTCCTCCATTCCTCTCAATCACTCGTCATATCTGATTTAATAATAAACCAAGATAGGTCTATATAAATTAAAAGTACTCCATCCCCAAGAGTGAAAGGTTACTTTTAAGCGCTTTTTATGATAAAAAGTAATTTACTATTGTATTCGAGGTCCTAATATTTTGGCTCAACTCTAAACGTCATTGTCATAAGTCATAACCTATTTATTAAAAAAATAATTATAAAAATCGATCTCTACATGGCTAGAAAGTACCTACGAAAAAATTAAGTGAATTCAAATAGAAAGAGGTCTCTGTTTGAGAAATCTATTTGAAGGCGGTCAAAAAACATGGTAAATACGAGTATGTATAGCATTCCAGTCTACCTTCTTGTCTTTATGCCTAAATTCTTTTATTAAACAATTCTTTTTAAATATTTACTTTTATTACCTATAATATTATATACATGCGGAAAATTAAAATATGTTTAAAATAGTTTTATCGCATCTATGATGGGAAAAATATAAATTCACGCGTAGTAAATTAGATTGAAATAATTTTATTATTGAAATTAGATGGCTCGACAGTCGATATAGTTAGGCGTGAACGATAAAAAATGAAATGGTAAAATTACTGTTAAGAATTTGTTTCAATTTTCGTGCCACAAAAGAGGATTAAGTTCAGGCATGACAATGCTATAATGTACTTCAAAAGCGGGTCGAAAGCTAAGCTGTTTTATCAACCTAGTGTTCGCCGAGTGGAAGTGGTAGGAATTCGAAAATAATAATTATTGGAAATAATCTGTGAAAAACATATATAATAGTGAGTAGTAGAGAGAAATAAAAAAATTATATATATATATTTAATTTTTTTATTTCTCTATTTGTCTGTTTGTACGGACTACGGGCTAATCTCCGACACTGTTGGACCGATTTAAATAATATTTTGCATGGTGGTACCTTATATCCACAGTCAACATTTTAGATACTTTTCATCCCGAAAATTAAAGATTGTTAAAAAACTATAGTAACTTATACAGCTGACACAACAACTTAAGCACCTAATTTAGTAAAATTTGGCATGCTGATATCCCGGAAAAAAGAACGATTCCTGTGGGCTAGATCTTTTTGTGCTTTTCTCGAGTTGATTTATAAAAAAAATATATTATGGTATTAAATGGCCCTAGCAAAAGTAAGATTAGGTATATGATCTACTGACTACTTATGTACTACTAACTACTTATGTATGTAATCAAAACTTAGAAGTCGATTTTAACTTTGATCCTTTGTATGTATGTACATACATATGTATGATCCGGATGCTAAAGTACTAATACGATACCATCAAGCTGACAAATGAGTTGATCTGATAAATCCACCGATATTGGAATTCTTTAATGGGCAATAGTAAAAAGTGTTACCTTTACTTAATTCGATGTAATGAATTACTTACTTTATTACATACAGTTGGTCAAAAGCGTTTTTTTTAAGTTTAACTGATTTCATACTATTCATTTCTGTATTGCCATAATATAATATGAGCTATATTTTTTGGAATATTTTAAGCATTATTCCAAGGAAACATTGACGTTGGCAACAGCTTCGAATTTTCATAATTGGAAGCGCAAACACTTTCTCGTTGAGCGTTTTGAACTACAATTATCGCGTAATAAACCTTTTGGCTATCAGTGCCTTAAAAAGATAATTAAACATAAACAGTAACGTTACGACACAGCCTATCGAATAGTTGCATAACTAAAGTTTCTCTTTAAAACGAGTTTAGTATCTAATCGACATTGATAGATTTTGCACGTTAAATTAGAGTTAATGAGTTTTTGATAGTCAAATGGCAATTTTAAATAGATATCTTAAGAAATTTCGGAAATAATCGTTAAAGATACAAAATACACATTATAATTTAGTTTTTATTTAAAATTGAAACCAAAGCCAAATGCTGTTACATAACAATAGTAATAAAAAAGAAAACCACAATTTTTAAGCTTTACATATCACAATTCCCATGTGACAAACAATCATACCTAAGGCTGATAGCTTTTTTATCTGCATGCATACTAGGTCAGTGTATTTTTGCTTTGCGATAAAGAATTAATATTATACTTACTATGTCGTTAGATGTAAATTTTAAAGTAGCTTTTGTAGGATATACCTAGGCGTGGTCGCATGAAAAGGAAATTGAGAATAATCCATGTGTCATCTCTAATACTTTCTTAGATTTATGCGAATATTTTACATCTATACTATAATAAAACTGTAGAGGTCGAATGTCTGTACATAGAATAAAAAATATTTGTGTCATTTCAATTATTTTAAAAAAGTTCAGTCCTGTGACCTGTCATTTAGCAATACCCCCAGACTGGGGTATTGAATCTGAAGGACCGAATATTATGCAGCTTTTTCTCTAATGACCTTCGATCAACATAGTATAGTTGATCGAAGCAAATGACCTAGCAACCGTTCAGAGTTTTTTTTTGTAATTACTTTCCTTAATGGGTGAAAAAGGGCGGTAAAAATTATAATATTATACCTATATTATAATATATAACATTTTTTTCTAACCCTTACTCAAAGCCTGATGTTACTTTTTCAAAATTCAACTCAAAGTATGAAGTAGTCAGGCAAAGACGGGGTAGCCCTTACTAGTTGATAGTCAGATGACATGTTAGCATGATATGTACAATCATTCCGGTATGTATAAAAATTATTTTTTATAATATAATTATATTACTATAATATGGATGACAGGAATGATTTTATTTTTATTATTAAATTATTTAAACAGATTTTATTTCCTGTAAGATGATTTTCATTATAAAGATAGTATTTGATTGTGTTGATCAGTGAACTCCACATTTCCCTTTATGTTCATTTATTAAATAAAAAAAAGATACAGGTAAGTATCTTTATCTTTTAATGTATACTACTTACTAATTGATTAATTATTACAAATATGTAATTATTGCGGTTAGTTATATTCCTAGTTCCTACTTTTTAAGTATATTTTCTAAGCCTCACTATAATGTACACCTGTATATATGTATGCGATTACATTATTATAATTTATAAATCTACTTTTTAAATTACAGTAAGGATCTAGAAGGAGATGCATAATAGTTTGGACTTTCGTTACGCTCTTACATTTTCTGTCTCCCTCTACTTGATAGATAAGCAATAGCTTTGTCTCTTTTTATTTACGTCCATGAAATGGTGACTTCGCAGTATAGGCAAAATGTTACGATGAAACTGTTTTTGTTTTAAATTTTGTCATTGCACATTAATCATCTATATATAATAGTAGTAATTAATACTACAATTATATAAAGCTAATATTATATGATAATTTAGGTTTTGTGGAGAAATATGTTTTTTTTTTAAAAAACGTAATCGTTTGTATACAGAGTAGATAATAAAAACCTCTATACCTGATCTTGTAAATCATAAATACCTTTTGTGTTTAAAGATGGTAATTTATACTGTTTAACAGAATATTAAAATATTAAAACATCTTTTAATATAACATTCCATGATTTACTGACGGATACAAAAAGAAAACGGATTGAATAATATATTTTCTTAAAATATTGTACATACATGTATCTAAAATTAGTAAAATTATTAAAATACATGTCTATTTGTAACGATTACACGCATCTATGCCATTCTTCCGATTGGAATCAAACTTGAGTGAGCTACGAAAGATTTTTAATAAATAGTACCGTTGTCGTTGATAGGTGGTTCGCGAGTTGTGTTGAGTAATTTAAGATTTATTACACTTAAATCTGAGTACAATATGTCTATTAGTTGTTTATTTAGTTAGTAATTTAAATATTTATCAGTGTCACTTTATTATTTGTCGTAATCAGGTTGGCTTACTAGAAAAAAATTGTAAACTTATATATTAAAAAAAATCACGAAAATATAATATATCTTATTTAACCTATATTACGAATTTAAAAAATGAAGATAAAAATTAAGTAGTTTAATTTTTTTAACCAACACATTTTATATGGTTAATGCTTTATCTGTTAGTTTTGCGCTATCTGGCTGGCCTCGTAAATTGTATAGTAGTGGGGGCAGCGCCTCTCGCACGTCGCACGGTTTCTATTTTGCGTTTCTCGAATTCAATTTAGTTACTTTATCGCGCTGAGTGAGATATCATTCGCGCTAGCATTTTTTAATTTATATACATAGTGATTAGAATAGTTTTTTTAGACAAACTAAACGTTTTAGTGATAGTGAAAGGTTATAAATTGAACTGTCTGTAGTGTCAAATGGACTGTACATAAAGTGTAGTGATTTTTTATACAGATCAAGCATTTGGATTTTCTTGCATGGAAACGGGCGACATAGCGAAGAACAGGCTGTGATTTTTGGAATACAAATCGAGAAAAAGTGTTACATTTTGACTATGGAATTTTGACGTTTGAGCGATGCGAAAGTAGTCGCAAGTGACATTGACGCGGGCCTTTCACGTAGGCGCTATAATGCTCCTACATAGAACAGTTTAATGGATTTTTAAATCGGTCGTATAACTTCGTAGCGGCGCCCTCTGCAGACCGGTTTCGCACGAACTTCACTAGAGTTCATTGCAGGTTTGAGTATGCTCGCGAAATATATTACGTGTCGTGTTTACTTTCCTTAAATTTGAAATAGTTTTAAAGTAAAAATTAACGATTCGGTCGCGGCCGAACGCCGCTTGACGAAGTGTGGGTGAGGACTTTGGTGAGGCTACATGGTTTTGGAGGGTTGAACCATGGCGACTGCAGAGATGAGTCTGCCTGACAAGAAGCCTGAACACGAGTCGGGATACTACGAAGGCAGCGATCAGGAGGGCAGCATGGAGTGCGGGTGCCCTTCTCCCGTCAGCTCGAGGAACTCCTCACATTCGACCAAACTGAAACATCGGCACAGTGCCCACAAACAGAAGAAGGTGCCGACTAAGAAGTTGAAGACCGAACAGCCCATGAATGGTCATAGTAATATCCATAAAGACAAAAGTGTTGAAATAGTTGAATATGCAGTGGTAAAGGACAAAATTAATAAAATTGAAGAAGAAGTACCAGTACCTGGGCCAAGTAAACGGAGTAGTTCTGTTGAACTGATTGGTGGAACAGTGCCTGCCCCTGCAAGGGACTCTGTTGATTGGAATCTAGTAGAAGCTAGTAAAATTAGGAAAAGAGGCAAAGGTTTGTATTATTAGTTATAATTACTTTAAAAATAGGTTTAGTAATTAGTTGAAAACTGGATTGTTTAATGAATGCACATTCTCTAATGTGGCAGTTGGGCAGATGTTTCAGTAATTCCTAATAATAATTTTGGTTGTTTAAGTAACAAATGGAATTAACAAATTATTTGGGAATTGGGATGATTATTAAGTAAATTCCGCTAATTTTGTTAATTATACTTAACATACTACTTTTTGGTTTGTAATAACCAAAATTTAATTATTTCATAGTTTATATTTGTTTCTTAGTACATATGAATAGTGCCATATAAAATAACACCTACCTACAAATATATAACTTATTACTTAATCGAAATAAAATATATAAATTCGATACAAATAATAAGTTATTTATTTGTAGATACTTACACTTTTTTTATTATTTGATATGTGCATTTCAAATTTTCAGCATAAATTATTATATAAATAAAGCTTCATTTATATGATTAAGCTCATATACATCTTGTATAATCAAGTATGATATTTTCAATATTTATCTTTTTGGTTAATAATACATTTGATAATTATTGATAATTCAAAATTATATCTTAAAAAGGAATAATTTTGCAAAGGTGATATATATTTTTGGAAAGAAATGTAAATGTGATTTTTCTTAAACAGAAAAGTTTTATAATAATACTAGCGACTCATCCTTGCTTCACTCGACTTCGTCCCTAGGTTGATTCCCCATTTTCACCCCTATAAGAGATGATTTCCGGGATAAAATGTATTCTATGTCGTTCCCAGGGTCTCAAACTACTTTCTTACCAAATTTAATCTAAGTAAATCGGTTCAGTAGATCCAAAGATTACACCATACAAACTCAAAAACTTGACCTCTTTATAATATTAGTATAGATTAAAAAAAAACATGAATACTATTTTTAAAAAAATGGTTTTCAGTAAGTAATATCTTAATTTTATTCAGATTTTTAATCAACAAAAAGGTTTAAATGCCTATAGTTCAATGACATGCTGACATCATAACTGATTGTATTGGATAGAGAAATGAAACTAGTTTCTTATGAAGGTTGAAATTTCAAGGAAAATTTAACATTTTTTATTAAAGAAAATATACAGTACCGCTAACATAGTGTAGCATATAAAATATTGGATAGATATTAATATTATGTTCCAGGAACTCTATTATTTATTATAAAATACAAAGAAGGGCATTGGCCCTTCATATTATATTATAACGGGAAACGATTTTTGTTTTATGATAATTCTTGTATTATTACAATGATACTAAGTTTATAACTAATTGGACAATGTATATAGCATCTCCAAATACACAAGTCATTCAAGAGATACATTTTTTTCTGTAGTGGTAAATAATATTTTGTGATATATAATATTTATTTACTATACACAAAAAGACTAAAAAGGAATGATATCCTAGACTATTGAAAGAAAAAAAGTTATAAATATGGAGTAGATGGCTCAGTGGAGTCACGCTCTTACTGTGAAAAAAAAAACTTAGAACATAACTGCTAAAAGTAAATATTGCTTGCAGATTTCCTTATAAAACAAAAAAAAATTATTTGATTAATTTGGATTTCCAACAGACGTTTAAATTTAACAAAGTAATATATGAATTATTAATAGAAATTGTAATTATAGGATTTCTTAAAATAACATGTTAATATCTATAATAAAGAGGCAGAGTTTGTTTTATTGAACGTGCTAATCTCGGGAACTACTAATGTGATTTAAAAAAATCTTTTTGCATTACATAGCCCGTTTATTGCGGAAGCCTATAGAATATATATCATCATGCTACTACCCAAGGGAGTAAAGCAGTTAATCTATACTATAATAATATAAAGAGGTAAAGTTTGTGACGTTGTAGGGGATAATCTCTAGATCTACAGAACTGATTTAGATGGAATTTGGTAAGAAGATAGTTTAAGACCCTGGGAAGGACATAGGATACTTTTTATCCCGGAAAACATCTCTTAAGGGGGTGAAAATGGGTAGAAAGTTTGTATGGGGAATCAAGCTAGGGACGAACCCGAGCGAAGCGAGGATGGAGTCGCTAGTTTAATATATAGTCTATCCATTCCATACTAACCGTAAGTAAAAATTAAAATTTTCGAAATATAAATAATTTTAAAATCATTCTAATTTTGTCTTTTCAATGGCATATAAAGTTCTATTATTAATTGTATAGAACTTAATATTTAAGGTTAGAAAAATTAATTATTAACTCAAAGTTTATAGTTTATGGGACTGATGTTTATCTTGGGACACCTAAAGTTACTGGAGAAGTATAAGCACCTTGAAATTTCACTAGATATAAATACAACTAAAATTATTCGCGGCTATCATACTTATTATTTTATTCAATATAATTAAATTTTGAGTCAAATCTCAACATTTAAAAATCTTATGGAAATAGTTTTTATTAACGATACAGAGGCCGAATCTATAGTTTTTAGAATCTTGTTTGTCTGTCTGGAAACTCATCACGAGATTTGGTATGATGATAGCTGGTTATCCGGGTCAACATATAAGATACTTTTTACTGTGGGAAAATATATCTGAGATATCTATACTAACCGTTAAAACGTACCTGGTGACGAACCCGAGCGGATCGAAGGTGCGACTCACCAGTTATTAAATAAGAACTTTAAAATTTCCATAATTGTGCTGTCATCCATGTCATAAAATCATATAGATACATCTATGATACATGTGTGGTTATCAAACAATGATATTTCTTTACAGTTTTGTTGATAAATAGGTATAAAAAACTTTATTATACAGAAAATATTGTACTGACTAAAGTAAATATTTTTCAAGTTTTTACACATGTGTTTATTTAATAATTATAAAGAATTGAAATGTCATGCAAAAAACATGCAAAAATTAATTGCATCAGAAATGTTTTTTCCATACTACCTACTAAGTATAAATATAAAGATAAAAAAAGATTTTTTTTATGTTTGTAATGGATAAACTAAAAATCTGCTGAACCGACTTAGATGAAATTAGGTCTGAAGATAGTTTGAGATCCTGGGAAGGACATAGAATAGTTTTTATCTCTGAAATCATCCCTTAATGCGTTGAAAATGGGGATGAAAGTTTTGTATGGGGAATCAATAGGGGAATATGGAATGGACAATAGTCTTATCTATTCCATACTAACTGTTAAGACATGGGATGAACCCGAGCGAAGCAAGGGTGAGTCTCAAGTAAGTAATAAAAGATGACTTACTTGTAATTTACTAATTTAATACAGTTGTATTTCACCACAGCCCCACTTTTTTTTTTTTGGAAATTTTAAGATACTTAAATTATAATTTTAGGATATATAGCAACTTGATATTTTATTATTGACTTCCTAACCTGACAGACATTGTCTTGTTCAAATTTAAATGTTCATTTTTGAGAAGGTACTGTATACAAAAATGCTATAGATTGCGCTTTCAGTTTTAGTTCTCCAATTTTTAGGCAACTTTTCTCGCCGTTAAATAAGAGGCAAAATTTAAAAAAATAGCCAAATTGGTCTAGCCATTTTCAACTGATTACTAACCACAACATTTCATTTTATACATAGTTTTTTTTTTGTTGGGACAATTACATACCGCACCATCTAGCCATGCTAAGCTACGAGGCTAGTATTATGGATACCAGATACATAGCTGATACACTACACACATATAGCGATAAATACATACACATTATAAATATAAACACCCATGACTGGAGTACAAACATTCATGCTCATCACACAAATGAATGCCTCCAGCGCGACTCGAACCCGCGACCACTGGTACTGGCAAGTAGGGTGACGACAAACAGAGCTAAACGTGTCGTTAAATTCTTTAATATTACATATTCAATAATTAGAATAAAGTCTTTATTATACACTCTCAGTCTGTATATATATTTAGTATGTACAAGTGGTAGGAAACGGAAAAAATAGATTTTACTTTGTTTACCTATAAATAAATAAACAGCCAGATTTTTGCAATAGTGTTTCAAGGCAATAACAACGTATATTTATTATTACACATTATAAATACGTATATCTAAATATCTGATAATGGCAGTCAGATAACAAGCATTGCTTGAGTTTTAGATATGATTATCAAGAGGTTCATGACCTTGTTGTATCTTTTAATATCTGTATCAAAATTTATACATACTTAAATATTTACAGGGAACTTATTGTGTTGTAAACTATCTTTAGTTTATGGCTTTATTCAACTTCTTTTTAAGAGTTTCAATTTTTATTCTAGCCATAATACTTGTGGAGTCTTACGTGATTTTGAAGTCTATCTACACCTTTGTGACAAATAATTAAAAAACACTTTGGTTTTGTTATTATATATAGATTAAAATTGTCCTTTCGTGGCCTTCAAGCATTTTCTCTTCCAAAAAAGTTGAATCGTTTTCTTGTTACATATATATAAACATACTAGCATTGTCCGCGCGGCTCCGCCCGCGTTCAGATGACCAAAAACCAAATTCTGAGGTTTAAGATATTAGTATAGGTACTCTTACATTGCAGTTTTTGTATTTTTTCTCAGAAATGAGATTTTCCCGAGGTAAAAAGTATCCTATATGTTGACCCGGATAACCAGCTATCACCATACCAAATTTCATTAAAATCCCTCCAGTGGTTTTTCTGTCATGCGGTAACAAACAGACAGACAGAAAAAATCTAATAACTATAGATTCAGCCTCTGTGTCGATTATAATGATTATTTCAATAAGATTTTTCAAAAAATATTTAATGCACAGATTCGACTTAGTTAGAATTTTATTACATGTATAAGTATAGATAATATCAATAAATTTTCACCCCTTGCGAGAATCGAACGGTAACTCTAGTTGCAGCATGCTAAAAGTCAATATTCAAATTAAAAAAAGTATATCCTATATCTCTTGTGTTGCTAGGACTGTCCGGTAAAATGAAAAATTACAAGACTCCGAAATCAATTACCTATTGGATTATTAGCTGAATTTTTTTTCTACAAACAAACGTTATAACCAAAACGAATAAACTTTTGAATGATTAATAATAATTATTAATCTATTTATCTAGTAGGGCGAAAGATACTTGTAGATTATTATTATTCACCTCGCTTCGCTCGTTTTCGCCTCTAGAAAAACGAAACCAAATTATCCCACAGGAAACGTACATTTTTACAGGATAAAAAGTAGCCTATGTGTTATTCTGATGTATGAGCTATATTATTGTAAAGTTTTATTAAAATCCATTCAATAGTTTTTGCTTAAAAGAGTAACAAACATCCATACATCCTCACAAACTTTCACATTTATAATATTAGTATGATTTTAGTTTATATTAAATAAAGTAATTAGCAATCATAAATACATAGTTATTAATACAGTATTTTTTTTTTAAATTATAGAGCAAAAAAGTGTTTGAAACAATAGAAATTTAATTACCTATATCTGTAACCATGTGTTTATGTCGGTGGTCATAACGGTTTCTTGCTATCAGTCCTTGACGTACCGCGATAAGCGCTTATCAATATGGTGTCCAGTAGTCTTGAATTGAAATTTAAATGAGACCTAACTGTTTTCTATTTAAATTAAAGATTTTAAATCCACAACAAATTGCTTTTACTGCTATTTGGAGTTTTACATATCTTAATTTTTATACATAGATGCAATAGACAGACTATATATCATATACAATATGTACATAGGAATGATGAGTTATATTATAACGTGTTTTTTCCCCGTGGGAATGAGGCAATCTCCCGCGGTAATAAGTAATCATGTCATTCTGCAGCCCTCCACCTATTTCTTCACAAGAAATCACGACAACCGTCGCTCTGTTTCGACGTGAAAGAAGGACAAACAAACAAACATATTTTTTACATTTATAATATCGATATCAGTACAGTACGGATGTTAACTGAATTACACACAGTGATCGCGATATAAATGATAATTTCTATTCGATAAAGCTAAATTATCCATAACAAGCCACAATAGTAAATTGCTTAGTGGAACTTTCAAAAGAATGGAATAGTTTTTACGATGTAGTTTTTCCATTACTTAATATTTTTACTTTTCCTACACTTTCAATTTTATCTGATTCCGGGATAACAAATAACGTATGTGGTATTCCGGTATATCTATCTCAAATTTTATTCAGTTCCGTTCAGCTGTTCTGGCGTGAAAGAGTAACAAACATCCATCCACCCATACGTCCTCACAAACTTACACATTTATAATAATAGCAGGATTTGCACATGTCAAATTTCTACCTTTAGTTGCTCAAACAATTGAAAGTAGACAAAATTTTTTAGTCGTAAATCTACTTAAACTAAATCCGTATGTATAATCGGCGGTCGGGATGTGCCTGATTGTCACTATTTAATCGCATCGATATTAACACTGATCGTAAACATATTTACTGTTTTGTATTTTTGGCGACTCTTTGTGAAATGAAGTTTGTCTTCTATACAAGTAATAAAATTGTAAGTAAGTCGAATGATTTTAAATAAAACTATCTTTTGGATTATTTCGCGGATTTTTTTTAATTTTTGGTTCCCGACGCGCCTGTAACAAGTGTATGTGTTTGAGACGTTTATAACTTTAGTCTCTCCCGTGACCATGATTGCTGTAAAGCATTCGAAACGCCGGGAACCAAAAATCAAAATAAATCCAAGAATGAATCCGAAAAGATAGTTTTATTTAAAAATGTCAGGTACATCTATGAAAGTATTAAGCCGAATCTGTAAATTAAATATTTTTTGGAAAATCTTATTGAATTAATATTATTATCGACACAGACACAGAAAAACCACTGGAGGGATTTTGATGTTATTTGGATGGTGATAGCTGGTTATCCGGGTAGTATACTAATATGTAAAACTTAAGAATTTGATTTTTGGTCATCTGAACGCGGGCGGAGCCGCAGGCAATGCTAGTAAAATATAATTTCGAACGATTTTTACTATTAAGGGTAGCAGTAAAAGTTTAACTTTTATGAAAAATGCTTTATTGCTGCAATAAGAATTATTAACATGTATAATATTAGCGATTAAACTCTTTGTTTGCCATATACAATTATGGATTTTTCTGAGTATTTTCCCTTGGACTAACTGTAAATATTAATTTAATTTTCTTAAAAAAGTTAACGAAGGTAAAAATTTAACTTTATTTCAGTTTTTTTTAATTTCACTTGGAAAGGTCAATAATCTTGATATCTTGATTTCTTTTAGCCAATTTAGTTTATTATAAGCGTTTGACCCGATCTATTATAGTAGTCGACTTCCTCCGTCGTGTAACATATTTAAAAATACTCGAGCTTACGTAATCTGTAATGTACAAATGTATATAAAAAATAAAATTATGTACTGTTTAGTTAATAAAACTACTATTATAAATGAGGAAGTTTTTATATGTTTGTACTTATTCATGCTAAAACGGCTGGACTAATTTGGATGAAATATAGCACAAAGATAGGCTATGAACTGGAGTAATACATAGGCTACTACAAGGCACTGCAAGATACACCTTTTTTAATGTTAGGAAATGCATTTATTGCATACCACCTGTATGGATAAAGGTTATGTGGGACTCGCTGGTTAGAAAAGCAACAGAACCTGGCGCGTTGCAGGATCGCTTTTGCCCTCTACTACGACGGCAGGTCTGCCGAAGCAGACCACACAACCCAAGGGTTGCTCTTATGGTCCACTCTTCTGTCAGAGAAGTACCAGGAGCAACCCGCATGGTACACCGCCCACCAAAGTTGGCCACCTCCCTGTGCGTTTCTTAGCTTCGCGCCCGACTGGATTGCCGGGCACTACTGAGCCTATCTGGCTAATCGATAATAATTATAACAAATTTTGTAAAAAAGATAGATAACGGTACAAAAATCTTTCTAGGTTAAAATGTAGGTCGAGCTCCGGATGAGATGTTTATCGCATTGAAGCTTTGATTGGCGATCTTTTAGATAAAAACAAAATACTTGTCATTCTTTATTGGATATATTTTATATTTGAATTTAATATTTCGAAATTGTATATAATTTCTTTTATTTTTGTCTTTTTTTTTTAAATAAAATAGCATACAAATAAATCTACTAGTACACTAAATAATATAAAAGAGTGATATCCATTACAATTTTGATCATTACATCTGGGGTGGCGCATTCTAACCCTAGACTCTTACCATAACCATCTTAGTGTTTAAAAAAAAATATAATTCGTGTCGTCATCATTTGTTAGTAATTGAGTGTATCTCATTATTATCTTGTGGTATCATGCGGACCCTAAATAGATTATTTTATCATAATAAAAATTTTCAAGCCCAAATATCACCTGCATATCGATTTTGTAATAGCACATACACACATTGACTTCACTACACTTGTTTTTATTTGCGCAGCTTATATACAAAGAAGCGATTGCAATGACTTAGTAGCGAGTTTGCGCGAGTTCAACGAACCCGTGACTTTGAGACGATACATATTTACAATTCTTATGTAAATCACTCATATCTGTATCTCGTTATGCGTTTTTAATATTTTTTTTTAATAATAGACATTATATTTTTATATATTTTTTAATAATAAATAGATATTGGGTTAACTCTTTTTGATTGAACGCAAACTCATATTATATAGTGATCTGTTTTATCGATCACATATATATACCAATATTATATAGAGGCAGATTTTGTTTGTTTGTTTGTTTGAACGCGTTAATGTAAGGAACTACTAATTTGAAAATTTCTTTTTGCATTAGATAGCCCATTTATTTACTACCCAAGGGAGCGGAGCAGTAATCATAAATGTCAACAAATTGGACAGATTTTCATATATTATTGTAAAACCATAAATATACATAGGGACGAACCCAAGCGATGCGAGGGTGAGACGCTAGTATAGAGAATAAATCAAATAAGACTGCTAACGGGGTACACATAACGGAGATGAGAAAGTTTATGCAATACACAACGATTTGATTTGAACGATAATAATAAATTATAAAGAAATAAAATGGTCGTCAATTTTATTTCTTAGTTTATCATGATTATTGCCTTTAATAGTTTTATTAAATCTGTAATATTGCTCTCGTAGATCTTGTAAAATTCACTTTAAAGAATTAATAAGTTTTTAGGCTTAATGATTTTTATGTGATAATTGTATGATGTGTTAAGAGATGATTTTTTTTTTTAATTGGTACATTTACACATCTGTACGTATTGTTCACGATAATGTTAATCCCATCTTATACTACTACTAATAATGTAAATCCGAAAGTTTGGATGTGTGGATGTTTGTTACTCAATTACGTCAGAATGGCTGAAAAGGTTAGATGAAAATTGGCATAGAGATAGATTATAGTCTGGAATAGCACATAGGTTACTTTTTGTCCTGGAAAAAGTACGGTTCCCGTGAGATAGATTTGTTTATCACGAGGGACGAACCCGAGCGAAGCGAGCGTGACACTCATTCGTGATTCTAGTTATTATAGTTGCAAGAAACGTTGCTAAAATAATAATTCTAATTTTTTTTTGTTACAGTTAATCTAAACGGCGCTTCTAAGGTGGACATATCCCATTTCGATTTGCTCAAAGTACTCGGCACTGGAGGTAAGTAAAGCTATAAAAGCATTCATGTAATATATTTAATTGTGCAAAAATAACGTCGGTTCGAAATTATGTTAATAACGTGCTTCAGTAAATGAAGGAATTTGAAAAAAACTTTTATGTCTAACACTAATGTCAACGGATATTCGAACCCACTTACCACTAACTGTTACTGACTGTCGTTTATTTTTATTACATTTGAATGACTATATTAATATTATGTTGGATAAAGTGTTTCTTTTTTGTTTGTTTGTTTGAACGTGCTTTTCTATATAACAATTAGTTAGATTTGAAAAAACAACCTTATTCATTTTATAGCCTACTAGCGACTCACCCTCGTTTCGCTCGGGTTCGTCCCTAGAGACGTTTTAACGGTCAGTATAGATTTCTCAGAGATGAGATATTTTCCTGTAGTTAAAAGTGTCCTATATATTGACCCGGATACTCAGCTATCATCATACCATATTTCATTAAAATCTGTCCAGTGTTTTTCTCGTGATGTGGTCACAGACAGACAAAAAATCTAAAAACTATAGATTCCTCTTTTTCCTTCTATATAATAATGAATATTTCAATAAGATTTACCAAAGAATATTTAATTTACAGATTCGACACAGAATTTTATTATTTTTATACTTATATCTATTGTAGATATATTGAGAAAGGATAGGCTATCAAACATCACACTACGACCTTTAGGAGCGTGGCAATTATTCATAGATAAATAACTACGCGAGCGCATCTACAGTTAAGAACTAGTTCAATGATAAAATAGCAGAACTATATTTTTGATTTAGATATTACTAGCGACTCACTCTCGCTTTGCTCGGGTTCGTCCGTAGGTTTTATCGGATAGTATGACATACGAATCTTTGAATTTCTCGGCTTTTTGGTACTATAATATGGATGTATTATAAATACATATAAACCTTCCTCTTGAATCACTCGATCTATTAAAAAAACCGCATCAAAATCCGTTGCGTACTTTTAAAGATCTAAGCATACATAGGGACAGACAGACAGCGGGAAGCGACTTTGTTTTATACTATGTATAAATGAAGTCATAAAATTGGTTTAATAATTAATTTAATAATAAATTCAAGTCAATATCATAAGCACACAATACTAAATTTAGTCTACATTCCGATATTTAAAACTACCTGTCCGCCCATTTGACCACCGGTTACTTGTTAGTACGTAAAGCACAAGGCGGTGTCAATGACCCACCACGTGGCAGTGAGGAAGTCCGGGGGATAGGGGATAGTGTTTTATTTTAGGCGTGACGATTGCTTTAGTTTTTATTTATAATTGAAAGCGGTTTAGAGCTGTAAGAGCAAGCTCATGTGGAGCTTATAGATGACGTCATATAATCAATTATCTCTTATTCCAATTTTCTGTAAGTAATCTGGTTTCTTTTTCTATTTTATTGCACGTGTACATAATATAAAGTATATTTTACTTTTAGCTTATATAATATGTTACTTGATTTATATTTTTTTATAAAAAGTCTAGTCTGAAAAATTGGTATTAATAGTTCATTATCAAAATAATTAAAATACTGCAATTAGCAAGTACCTACTAAATAATACGTGAACAAATTAAACACAAATCGTTAGTATGATGTTAATGAATAATAAAATTGTTTTACAATGAAATCAGAAATGTTATACCTATATATGACATTGAAACGAAACCGTTAAAGTCATAAGTGCCCTTCATCAGATCACACGTGCAAAAGCAGGAAGTACTATGCAGTCATTATATACCATAGGTATAGAACTTCTGACTAGTTACAGCGTTTTAGGCTTTTGTTTCGCCGCCTTAGAGTTTATTTTCCATATTAGGACGCTTTCTCAAACTGCTTATAAAAATTAAATGATGTAAAATTATGAATGTAGTACAGTTTAAACTGGACTTTTTATTAAATAGTTAACTAATATTTACACGCGACGTCGTTTATGAATTAATTACTTATGATTTGTAAAAAAAGGTTTTTTTTTCATGTGTATGTTGCAGGATATTTTCAGTTGTTATGAACGGATATTACTTATCCTTTTCAGGGTTCCGTACCCGAAAGGTGCCAAGGGAACCCTATTAGTAACAATAAGCCTCAGTTGTCCCCCTGTCCGTCCGTCATAGGGCTGTATCTCATGAACCGTAATAGGCAGAGAGTTGAAATTTTCACAGAGTATGTATTTCTACTGCCGCTATAACAACAAATAATAAAAATACAAAAAAAACATTTTTTTAACGTTTTTAATCGATCATCGAAGTTAATATATTGCATACATAGAGTAAGTTAAATTAATAAAAGTACATGTATGATGGTACGGAACCCTTCGTGAGCGAATTCGAGTCGCACTTGACCGATTTTTTTATACAATGAGTGCCCTATCGGTACATTTTATATTAGATGTGTCTTTTCAGTTAAATGTATCATTTACATCCTAGACCAGGTGACCCTGACAATTCATATAAGTACTTTTGATGTACATAATTTGTTAATAATAAATACGTATGTAGGAAACAAAGACATTTTACGTATTCTAAGGTATGACTCATAAGTATAATTAAATATGTAGTGAAAAGTAGCTGGGCAAAGCCTAACATGATATTCCTATAAATAAACTGAGATTAATTTCTTCATAATATGTAATGATTATACTTAGTATAATAGAATTATTTATAGAAAAATAAAATTAAACATTAAGAAACCCACAACGTGACCGCGAGCAAGGTTTCCAAACAACTTACCAGTAACTTCAGGATGGTAAACACTGCGCAATTTCACTGAGAATTTTCATTTCCAAACACGTTTGAAAGGATGAAAGCACGAAGCCATAATTTCTGTGTTAAAAATAGTACTTTGTTAAGAATTTTTATTTCGGCTAGTGCAAATGTTATGAGTTTTATTTCATTTCATATAAGAAATTGGAAATATTTGTTTTATTAACAACTAGCGAGGTGATTAACTAGGTGATTCTTTAAATTGACATAACTTTTTTATTTATGTTCCTATTGAAATAAAACAAACTACACTAAATGTTAAGTGAAGCTTACCACAATACATTAGTGAAAACCGCACCCAAATCGGTTAAGCCGTTTCTGAGATAAGCGTGCACAAACGCACAGAAAAACAGACAATATTAAAAAAAATCATTGTTTCTGGTTTTATTGCGTTAATAACCCAATAATAGTTTTTCTCAAATATCTTCCAATGTACAGACAGTGATCAGTTACAATTTTATTATATTTACATATAGATAATGTATCTTATACAATTTTTGATAATGTTAGAAGGTTTTTCGTCGTTAAAAAAGATGACCTGATGACTGATCATTGCAGAGGAAGCATAATTATTTTCCATGCAATATTTTTTGTAAACTTGTTTACTACGTTATATGTAGAAAACTCATGTCCCCTTCGACGTGATCATATATTACATTTTTTTTAAGTACAGTATTTCCGGATTCATAAAATACCTGTAAGTTCTAACAGGGTTCACGTTAAGTAAGAAGTGCGAATCTATCGAGCATCACCGATTGCATATTCCCAAGGGTGTTCATACACTGTGAAGTATTAATGTTACGTATGAGGCGTTTATCCGGTCAATTGTGTAACGGTTCATATAGTTTTATAATGAAAAACAATACGAACCTTTATCTCGTACATATAAAGATGAAAATCGAATAACGATATTTGTTTTGGAAATAAAATCGTCGCGACGTACAGGATTTTAAATTTTACACTATATATACGGAGGGATCGAAATGTTCTGAAAATGTTAGGTTCCGAGCTGTTATAGCGCTAATTAATTTGCAATATAGCAAAGATAATTGTGTAGCGTTTTAAGTTTTCATACGTACCATAGAGTACTGCACCGTTGATAGCTTTTTTTTTCTTCTACATTTTATGTTGCCCGGAAATGGTTCTAGTAGGAAGTTGGATTTTTTAATTCATTCCGTTTTTTATATTATGTAAATGGAGTCAGATTTTTTAGTACATTAAACTAGAACGTGTTGTATCGAAACTGTTTTATAAAAAGAAAAATTTGGAAGTAAAATTCTCGCGTAAAGATATATTTATTATCTGGCTCTAATATACCGTGTCGTGTTGCCACCCAACACGTATCGGCCAAAGTGAAGGAATGTGAAGTTTGGAAAACTATAAATGTTTATGATTAATAGGGTTTTAGATTAAATTTTGAAAGTAACAAAGCTTGGTTTTAATAACTCATACACTGGTAATTATTGTAAATCTTTATTGATTCTACTCTTGCATTATAGAATTTTAGAAATTAACGTGTAATTTCTTATAAAATTAATGTATGAAAGTATTTTTACGTCACTATTTTCGGAGGTTTTACTTTTTGATTGAATATCATTTTACGGTACATAATGCTGTCTTCATAAGACAGCTTATGAGTATAACATGTTATTTATATGCCTTTATTGATATTTTAGATGATCTCCAAAGTTAGTTGATACGAAAGTACCACTTTGATGATATTATACTCTTGTTAAAATTCGACGGTAAAACTTTTACCAAGTTATGCGACGGCCTTGCTTAGTTAAAAACACTGACTTTAATATAGATTAAAATCATTTATTTTTGAAATTAATCATTTATGGGACGATCCTTGAAGTATGAAGTTTTAATAAAAAAAAAGTAGTTCACCGGTGGTAGGACTCTGCCAAGCCTGAGGAGTCCGACTGGATGGGTACCACTCCCTTATCAATTTCTCCCGCCAAGCAACAATGATTACATTGTTGTGTTCCGGTTTAAAGGATAAGATAGTCAGCGCAATTACAGGCAAGAGGCATATCATCTTAGTCCTCACAGTGACAACGCACCTACGGTTCTGCATTTTTGTTACGTAAAACCTAAGTGCATGAATCGTAGGTGTTATTGGCGACACGTACTGCTTTCCATCAGGTGGTCTGTCTGCTCGTTTGTCACTGAGCACCATAAAAAAAGTATGCAAATTAATTATTACATATATG